AACAAAAATAGAATTGTTTGGCCATAATGACCATCGTTATGTTTGGAGGAAAAAGGGGGTCGCTTGCAAGTCGAAGAACACCATCCCAACCATGAAGCACGGGGGTGGCAGCATCATGCTGTGGGGGTGCTTTGCTGCAGGAGGGACTGGTGCACTTCACAAAATAGTTGGCATCATGAGGAAGGAATATGATGTGGATATATTGAACCAACATCTCAAGACATCAGTCAGGAAAGTTAAAGCTTGGTTGCAAATGGGTCTTCCAAATGGACAATGACCCCAAGCATACTTCCAAAGTTGTGGCAAAATGGCTTAAGGACAACAAAGTCAAGGTATTGGAGTGGCCATCACAAAGCCCTGACCTCAATCCTATAGAAAATTTGTGGGCAGAACTGAAAAGGCGTGTGCGAGCAAGGAGGCCTACAAACCTGACTCAGTTACACCAGCTCTGTCAGGAGGAATGGGCCAAAATTCACCCAACTTATTGTGGGAAGCTTGTGGAAGGCTACCCGAAACGTTTGACCCAAGTTAAACAATTTAAAGGCAATGCTACCAAATACTAATTGAGTGTATGTAAACTTCTGACCCACTGGGAATGTGATGAAAGAAATAAAAGCTGAAATAAATCATTCTCTCTACTATTATTCTGACATTTCACATTCTTAAAATAAAGTGGTGATCCTAACTGACCTAAAACAGGGAATTTAAGTATTTCTTCAGGCGAACAAAAGTCTCTGGACTCGAATTAATTTACTGCGTGCGGAAATGCAGTTGTGCCTTTCTAAAAGTCACACTGGCAAGCTCTCAAGTTTAATTTGCACACCATGCTGGCCTGTGCTCGTGGGACCCGTCATCTGCTTGCTCGACCACATTTCTTCTCTCTCCACTCAAGTGTTAGCTTGTTTCATCTTTCGCACGATCGCCATCTCGCTCCCATTCGACTTTTGATTCGGATTTGACGCCATAGATAGCTACCTCAATTACCTCATACCCCGGCACATCGACTCAGTACTGGTACTCCCTGTATATAGCCCTGTTATTGTTATTCGTTATTAACTGTGTATTTATTCCTCGTGTTACGATTTCTATATTTAAAAAATATATTTTATGTTTCTCTTTAACTCTGCATTGTTGGAAAAGGACCCGTAAGTAAGCATTTCACTGTAAGTTTATACCTATTGTTTATGAAGCATGTGACAAATAAAATTTGATTTGGATCCTGGATGCTGATTGGCTGAAATAGCTTTTCAGCCATGTGTATATCAGACAATATACCACAGCTATGCAAAAATACAATACAAATATTTATGTTGCTAACCAGTTTATAATAGCAATAAGGCACCTCTGAGGTTTGTGGTACACTATATGGCCAATATACCACAGCTAAGGGCTGTATCCAGGCACTTCGCGTCACGCATAAGAACAGCCCTTAGCTGTGGTATATTGGCCATATACCACACCCCCTCGGGCCTTATTGCTTAATTATAATAGTAATTCCAATGGTAGCACATAATCTCTTGAAAGGTTGATCTCATGCTGTTATCACTGTATGTAGACTGTCGACACTTTTTTCTACAACACAACTTTTTCTACAACCTTCTCCCTCTTTATTTTTCTCTCTTTATCGGACCCTCTCTTTTCCTATTACTCTGTTTCTCTATATCTACCCCTCTTTGTCTCTCTCTGTCTTTTTCTCACCCCCCCCCCCCCCCCCTCATACACAGGGCCACTGGTCCTAGTGAGTAATGGGGTAATTAGACCAATCATGCTGCAGAGACACAAGATGAATTCTGTGTGCTTTCTTCTTTTGTTCTCCGCTAAAACCCAATCAGGTTTCTTTCCTCAACATTACCTGAGAGAGACCCTCTCACCCCTTATCGCCCTCCCTCCTTCCCCACCTCTCCCTTCATCCCTTCTCTCTCTATACCCTCTTTCATCCTACTGGGGTAGACTTCACCCCTCTCAACCTCGGTTATCCTCTCCTCTTTCAGTAAGATCTCAAACTTTTCCTTGTCCTCGTTTCCTCCTAGTTCGTTCACAACTTATTTCAATTTTTGTTCACCTATTTCCTCTATTATGAACTGAGATTGCTGGTTGAAGATAGATAAAGAGAGAGAATGTTCTTTGTTTTTTAAACTGTTTTTCAACAGAACATTCATGCTGAATTGTGAGTACAACGTACATTTGAATATAAAAATTGGCAATACTAACTAAACCACAATCATCAACTACATAGACTAAGGACATGGACCATACAATCGGAGCAGTTCTTTGGCCACCATATCATCGAGACATTTTTTATTTTATTTTTATATACAGTGGGGAGAACAAGTATTTGATACACTGCCGATTTTGCAGGTTTTCCTACTTACAAAGCATGTAGAGGTCTGTAATTTTTTATCATAGGTACACTTCAACTGTGAGAGACGGAATCTAAAACAAAAATCCAGAAAATCACATTGTATGATTTTTAAGTAATTAATTTGCATTTTATTGCATGACATAAGTATTTGACCACCTACCAACCAGTAAGAATTCCGGCTCTCACAGACCTGTTCGTTTTTCTTTAAGAAGCCCTCCTGTTCTCCACTCATTAACTGTATTAACTGCACCTGTTTGAACTCGTTACCTGTATAAAAGACACCTGTCCACACACTCAATCAAACAGACTCCAACCTCTCCACAATGGCCAAGACCAGAGAGCTGTGTAAGGACATCAGGGATAAAATTGTAGACCTGCACAAGGCTGGGATGGGCTACAGGACAATCGGCAAGCAGCTTGGTGAGAAGGCAACAACTGTTGGCGCAATTATTAGAAAATGGAAGAAGTTCAAGATGACGGTCAATCACCCTCGGTCTGGGGCTCCATGCAAGATCTCACCTCGTGGGGCATCAATGATCATGAGGAAGGTGAGGGATCAGCCCAGAACTACACGGCAGGACCTGGTCAATGACCTGAAGAGAGCTGGGACCACAGTCTCAAAGAAAACCATTAGTAACACACTACGCCGTCATGGATTAAAATCCTGCAGCGCACGCAAGGTCCCCCTGCTCAAGCCAGCGCATGTCCAGGCCCGTCTGAAGTTTGCCAATGACCATCTGGATGATCCAGAGGAGGAATGGGAGAAGGTCATGTGGTATGATGAGACAAAAATAGAGCTTTTTGGTCTAAACTCCACTCGCCGTGTTTGGAGGAAGAAGAAGGATGAGTACAACCCCAAGAACACCATCCCAACCGTGAAGCATGGAGGTGGAAACATCATTCTTTGGGGATGCTTTTCTGCAAAGGGGACAGGACGACTGCACCGTATTGAGGGGAGGATGGATGTATCGCGAGATCTTGGCCAACAACCTCCTTCCCTCAGTAAGAGCATTGAAGATGGGTCGTGGCTGGGTCTTCCAGCATGACAACAACCCGAAACACACAGCCATGGCAACTAAGGAGCATCTCAAGGTCCTGGAGTGGCCTAGCCAGTCTCCAGACTTGAACCCAATAGAAAGTCTTTGGAGGGAGCTGAAAGTCTGTATTGCCCAGCGACAGCCCCGAAACCTGAAGGATCTGGAGAAGGTCTGTATGGAGGAGTGGGCCAAAATCCCTGCTGCAGTGTGTGCAAACCTGGTCAAGACCTACAGGAAACGTATGATCTCTGTAATTGCAAACAAAGGTTTCTGTATCAAATATTAAGTTCTGCTTTTCTGATGTATCAAATACTTATGTCATGCAATAAAATGCAAATTAATTACTTAAAAATCATACAATGTGATTTTCTGGATTTTTGTTTTAGATTCCGTCTCTCACAGTTGAAGTGTACCTATGATAAAAATTACAGACCTCTACATCCTTTGTAAGTAGGAAAACCTGCAAAATCGCAGTGTATCAAATACTTGTTCTCCCCACTGTATATACAGTATACAATGAGAGTTAAGATTTGTTGAAAGTTCCCACCAAGGTCACCTCTTTCCTACATGTAATTGACTTGGGATCCTGGGTGAATAATGGGCCCCCTGTTAAAAGAGGTTGCTATTGGCTAATGAAGCTGAACGTGTTGTTTGTCCTGTCCTCCTCCCCATACCCATCTCCCTCCTCTCCCCCTCCGCATCTCCTTCCTCTCCCCACTTACTCATACTTCTAATGCAGACACCATTTGTGTGCATGTGTTTCTGTACATGCAAAAGGTGGTAGGGGTGCATATGTGTGTTTGCAGGGGGAATAGGTGTGTTTGCATGCATGCATGTGTGTGTGTGTGTGTGTGTGTGTGTGTGTGGTGTGTATTCATGTATTTGAAGAACACATACGTTACCCAGCCTCAGGAGACAGGGGACATGATCACACCACTTGTCATCCTGCCTGACCCTTAACGCTTCGCCACACAGTCAAATCAATTAAGGATCTCCAAAAACAAATATACATCATACAGTCCACCTGCCCATATAGACCTATGAGTTCATTCCTTCTCTATTTCAATTATATCCAAATTATTCAATTCATGGTTTTGATGGGAAATGGAGAGGCATTTGCATTTCCATTCAAAAAGTACAGGTATGGTTGGACAGCTCCTTTTTTGTGTGTCAAAGGAACAAAGAGATATGACCCTATGTGTGTTGACAAGATCACATACTGTAGATGTGGGAGAGCAGCAGAAGAGATCCTGTTTAATGGCTTTTGTTTGTGCATTCCAGATACAAATAATAATTATCATCATCATCATCATCATAAACACATACACACACATGTTGGATACAGTGTCAGCCGCAAGGCTAAGCTCTGCAGCAGTGTAGTCTTGTTTTTAACAACATTTTGACTGGTGCGTGTGCAGGTAATACAAGCTTTTTACTGATATTTTGTTTGTCCGCATTACATTAATGTTGTGTTTTTTCATCTGTTCCTTTTTCTTTACATGACAACATAATGAATGCACATTTTGTTGTCTATCTCTGGAAGCATTGTTTTTCTGGGCTATTGACTGTTCACTATTATGATTAATCAAACAATTAACAGGATGGCTTCTAATGATATCCCAGAGGACACAGAGAGGGTGAAGATGGCAGCTCTCATGGGTGACATCGTCATCAAAGGTGTGAGTGATTTCACATACACCAGTTTGTCAGTCGGGACATCGAAGATGCTATAACTTCAGAATATGTATGATATAAGTGTCAGTGCAGTCATGCAAGTGCAGTCAGTTAAAAATAAATCTGGCAATGGAGAAGGAAAAGGGAAAGTCTGCCATTCGCTTTTCATTGGCTGAAGTCAGTGAAGGCTAACCAGCCAAAAGGAATAGAGAGAGAAACATGGAGAGCAAGGTGGGGGGAGACGAGTTAAGGCTTCGACAACTGGTTGGTGTCATAGGTTTTTGAATTTTTTATGGTACATTTATGAATCAATCCTGAAATTCTACAGTATAGAACCAAGTACAAGACATTGCAAGTAAAGTAATTGCTCTACCCATTGGCATGCTGGACCAATAATGAAACATTGAAAAACAAAAGATAATCAAACATCTTTGAATAATATGTTTATAATAGAGAAAAGAAAGAACGAAAAAGAAAATGTGTAAAGACTTCATCTCCCATGGTGCCATACAATAACACGCTGCGTATCCACGCTCTGCCGGAGTTGGCGGGTACGAGGGAGGCGCTGGATGGCTTTTGTCTGTAGCTTTACGCAAAAACGAGAAGAGTGTCCTTTTAAAATAGATATTACAATTTGATATTTACATAAGATAAGCACTAACATTTTTTAGATAAACCATTGGTATCCTACTGGTTTTAATTTGATAAAATTAACTCAATTTCAGACAATTCATTCATTAGAGTCAATTCTCTGTAAAGGTAAGTGGCTAGTGACTTCACCATAGCCTTCTGCTCTGTAGCGGTTTTCCCCCACTGCGTTAACCTTCTATTATGCACAATGCGTAATAAACATGTTTCAATAGGCCAATATATTGACATTGCAATGTGCATCTTGCTACGTTGTTGCATGCGGATTCTGTTTTGAGTATTCAATTGCATTGTTTTCGCGCGAGTTCGTGTAGCTTGCTCATGCTGTGATTCAGGTCAACATGGACGACTAGTCATTCCGTCTCGAGAGCTGTGGGGAAAAACCCCTAGCACCACCATTTGAAACGGGAACGGCTGATGGCATAGTGAACGGGTTGGTTAATACATTGCAATTGTGTGTAGCCCTTTACAGTTCTCATCTATTTAACCATGTTGTTACTTTGTTGCACTGCTTGATTGCCCGTTATTGAAGTAGGAAAACAATTAGGATGCTTCATTTCATTACCCCCTTTCAGGCAGGAATGTGGCTCATCGAATTGGTTACTTATAAAAGAGAGGAAATGTGCTGTAGCAAAGAAAGGACTGCTTATGAGACATATATTTGCATCGATTTACACGTGGCCAAATTCGCATTATTGATTGGCATTGCCTGTTACGAACATTATAGCCACCAGCGAACTACAGCGTGCACCTAAACTCAATGTTACCCAAATAGGGCAATGCAATCAGAAATGATCACCTTCTTGGAATTACTTTCATTTTGAAACAAACTGTTGAATTGCACATCAAAGCTGGCACTCATAAATGCGTTGTTTAGCCTACAAAATATTGGATGACACTGAAAAACTATATGTCCTATTAAATTATGTTTTTAATACATTTGTGTTGTCAGTGTTCGTATGATAGTGATGGTTTACCCCTGCTTACACCAATGTTCAGTTAGGAGGGGGTGGGGTAAGCGTTTTATTGGTGTTGTGTGTTCTATAGGGTAAGAACCCCCATGCCCAAGTAACCCCCTTCTTCCTCCAGACATTCTCTTGTCCTCACCATGTTTTCTGCCAGTGGTTTGTAGTGATTGTGTGCTTTAGTTGATTCGACTGTATGTGGCATAACAGTCGAATCTGTAGCTCAGCTGGTAGAGCACGGCGCTTGTAACGCCAAGGTAGTGGGTTCGATCCCCGGGACCACCCATACACAAAAATGTATGCACGCATGACTGTAAGTCGCTTTGGATAAAAGCGTCTGCTAAATGGCATATTATTTATATTATTATAACTGTGCATTGATGTCTACATTAGAAGCTTGACCCCTTCCCCTGCTGAATCTCATGTCATTTTATGTGCTTAACTGCTTGATTGCTGGTCTGATTGAAATGATTGTGCTTCTGACATGTTTAAACTTTCCTACCATATTGGTAGGTGTGCTTTAGTCTACATCACATCAAGGCTACAACCCCAATGAATGTTCAAGAACTCGTGTAGTCCCTACCCCCTGCCTAGATCATGTATTGAAGATGGGTACCAACCCCTAGGGCTCTCCTCGGGGAATCACACCAACAGTATACCATCATTTAGACTGTCTAGTCATAAATATTTCTGGAAATAGTGATGACAAACCTAGTGATTCTAGTCAACTATGCGTTTTTCTGTGTATTTGTTTGCATTAGTTGCAGACTTGCAGTACAATCCATGCATGCCAGCTCTTTTAATAGAAACATAATATATTGCCGCTCCATGTGTTTTAGGAACCGTAGTCAGAGATTATAACTAATCCAAGATAGATCACAGCCTGTTGTTTCCAATAGGCGCAAATGAATCATAGTGGGCAGAGCCAAGCAGGAGCTAGCGAGATCCTATTGGTGTGCTCTAGCATGTCTGTTAAGGATAGGAAAGGCTACTTTAAAGTGCTCGTGCATTAACTCATTTCGCCCGTGCACAGAATTTTTTACAACTCTGGCAAAGGATAAAGTTGACAACTTAGTCCATTCTGTTTGTAACATATTGTAGTTTTGGCACATAACTGTATTGAGATCAACTGTTTTATAGATGAAAAGGTTGAGCTTCCTCTTATCACCATGTTTGGTGGGTGGAAATGCCAACTGGATGCTTCACATTTATACATCCAATGAAACATCTGTCTCATTGTTCTATCTGTGCTGTAGTGGTATGCATGTGTAACAGTTTTGCTTCCGTCTCTCTCCTCGCCCCAACCTGGGCTTGAACCAGGGACCCTCTGCACACATCGACAACAGTCACCCTCGAAGCACCGTTACCCACCGCTCCACAAAAGCTACGACTACTTCAAGGTCTCAGAGCGAGTGACGTCACCGATTGAAATGCTACTAGCGCGCACTGCTAACTAGCTAGCCATGTCACACCGGTTACACATGCATTACGCGTTAATCGATTGACTGTGAGAGATGATACCATGTGTTCTTCTTACCAATGCCATTCTCTCCTGCTTTCTGTGATTTCTCCCTGATGCCTCTGATCCATGCCCCCCCTTCCCATCACCCATGCCTAAGTAACCCCCTCCCCTCTCACCCTGTTTAGCTCTGTTGACAAGGAACCCGCTGGTTCCACTGCCTTCTCCCAGCCCGAAAATGAGCGAGCCTACCACTGCAGCTACAGAACCCCCAAGTGATGTGACCCCCAGTGTTACTACTACTACTGGTGTTACCACTGACGGTGTAGATCAACTTTCTTCTAATGCAAACGGTAATCCATTGTTTCTGTCTTATGAATGTCATAGGGGTGGGTGGTGGACTGGCCAGCTTCGGCAGAACTTAAACGCCCACGAGTGGAAATTCACTTTTTTTTTAGGTAAAAGACGATGCCCATAGCTTATCCATGATGTTGCACAAGGTTTTAAGTCAATCTCTTTAGTCAAAGTATGATATATTTGGGCTTGAAGTGAGAATTCCGAAGTGGTAACTTGTGTTTCCCCTTGAGATGACGTGCTAATACTTCAGTTTTTTCAGGGCTGGGTTTTATTTGAACGTTACCACCAACTAGCATGGCATTGTTTAATAATCAGAAACACCTGCAATGTTAGGGGTTGTTTTTGCCCCTCCACATTTTTACCAGCAAATTATCATAATCCATTAGAGAATTTGTCAAGTTTCACTTATTTTTTTAGCTAGTCTGTATAAAAATAAATAGTAAAACTGCCTGATATGCATTTTGGAACCCCACTCCCCCCGTCGCCCCAAGATGAATGATTTTGACCACTAAAGTTTTGGGAGAATTCGTTTTGCATGGTCCGGTGCCCCAGGTGGGCGGGGTTTGCTCATTTTATACAATTTCATTGGTCCTAAGAAGAAATCTCCGCCCACCTGGGGCAAGACTAACTTGCCCATTGCTTCACGACATGCTCCACTGCTTTGATTGGTGCAGCTAGAAACCACAATATCCTACAATGAAAAGGCACCCGCGAAAGAAAATTCAAGGAACTTGTTTATATATTTTTTTGTGCTGTTACATTTGTATTGGTGTTTCGTGTCTGATGTGCTTAGGGTGTTGTTGCATGTCATTTGTGGCGTGCATCATGGGCAAAGTTATGGTAGTCTCATTTCACTTCCTCTGTGAGAACCGTGAGCACGGGCTGGTTTTGCTTGGCTGTACTGCAGCCAAACCCTGCCACTTTCTGTGTCCATTACAATGTAGAAAAACACATCTCTAAACCTTTCAAAGTTATCCATATTACCGGAGCTTCATCTTAAAACTTTCTATGGTGGATTAGCGGTCGCAATTTATGTCAAAGATACTTGTTTCCATCTGTGGCAAAGTTTTCTCTAAATGATTATGACAAATCCAGCTCCAGAACCAGTGATTATGACAAATCCAGCTCCAGAACCAGCCATAGCCACCTAGCTAATCTTTTGAATACGGTGTAGTTAAAAAGACCTAGCAACAACAGATAACATTAGCTAGCTAGATAAGGTTGGCATGGTAGCTAGCTACACTGACAGCTGTCAGTGACATATTTGTTGATGTTTCTCCACTCCACGGGGAAAGCACCTCAGGAAGGTCTCAATTGCATAATCCTTGCGTCCTCTCTCCTCGTCTCCTCCTCAAAACCCATTGGAGGATAAGGTCAGAGGGGAGGGACCTCTGGCTTTCTCATCCAATGGCTTTTGAGAAGGAGACGAGCGGCGAGGACGAAAGCATTATGCAATTGAGATCTTTCCCTCTACGTTCCTTCCCACCTCCAATTCGTGAATATGTAATGTAGCCTGCGTCATTCTTCGGAGGTAGAACCTAAACAAGCTTTTCCGTTCTAGAACAGGAATTACCTCAAAATGTTTTTTTGCGGGGCATCCAAAGGATTCTCTCTGACTTGGCTGCCGACCTTGACAAGATTAAGGGGATATGTAGTATGCTTGGGCGGTATCCAGATTGTCATACTTTCATACCCACCTTGTGCCATACCGGGATATTCGGTAATACTGGCACTGAACACAAGGGGCGCTGTTCTCAAACTCCACTGATACTCTGTAATCCGAAGGTTAGCAATGCTAACAAGTACATGTACAATTCCATAGCGAATGCTAACAAGCGCATTGCAAACATTTTGTACAGTTTCTGACCTAAACTATACAAGTAACTAAAAAAATGCTACTCACAGTCTACTGCACACACAACAAATATTAGCCAGCAAGGCTCTTGATCCAGGAGGGGATTCTCTGCCAGTACCAAGCGAATGCTTGATTTTGGAAAAGCTAACCACTTAGCTAGATAGCTAACTAGCTACTAAATTAGCAAACCAAATGCACAACTGCAGAGTATTTAGCACATTTTAGACAGTTAACTTAATAGTTATAAGATATCTAGCTGGAAAACATTTAGCTGTGAATTCCATGCTGCAATTAGATCACCTGGCGCATACTGCACAACAGTGAGTGACTCAAGGCTCCGGTCTCTCGTCTTTGTGTGCTTGTAAACAAACACCAGGTGACTGGGGACTACCATAAGCTTCATAATAATGTGACCGCTGAAATGAAGAACGCAATGTTCTTTATCTCCTAACGTATTGCACAAGTTGACTGCAGGTATTTACTTAAGTAGCTACAAATATTCAAATGTATTAAAACATTTCAAATAAATAGTTTAAACGGTATTGAAAAACCATCCCGTGGCTTTTTCCAAATACCCCGAGATGCGCTATATACGGTATACCGTCGAAGCCTAATATGTACTGCACTGTGTCCACCCTCTACACACACCATTCGTCAACTATGCACTCATCTGTGACTGTTTACTTTGATCGTCATCCTTTACACCATCCTGTCCATCCTCTCTCAGATATCCATGAATCGTATAGGTCGTGCCCTTTACTTTTTCAAGGGTGCAGTCCAGCTCTTTGATGTTATGGTCTAAGCTAGAGGTGGACCATAGTTTCAGAAACCTTGGGAACACGTTTTCTGGATAGTCCATCTGTAGATCCTATACATACTATCAGTATCATTTCAACTAATTATCTACTAACCCTAATCTTAACCTTTACCTTCATCCTAACTCTAAACGTAGCCCTAACCCTTATTCTAAACCTAACCTTAGCAAGCAGTTGCTTATCAACAGATAGTTTGTTGATAGTATGACCATCTGTAGAGCATCTACAGATGGACTATCCAAATAAAGTGTGACCGAAACCTTTCATTGGCTGTGATGCCTCTTATCCTTTGCCCAACCTGTATGTCTATGTATATTTGGGCTTCAAATCAGCAGTGATAGTGCATCCCTCTCCAGGACAGTGTATTTATGTATGTCCTTGAAATGTTCAATCCTTGGGTCCAGTACCCATACCGGACACCTTAAAACTACTTCAGGAGCATACCAAGCTCATCTAACCCCCTCTAAAAACAAATCCATGAGGGTCAGTTGGAGGATCTCTCTTTGAATACAAAAACTCATTGCCATGGTTTGGTTGGATTTACAGAGTTACAAAAACACAATTTGAAAGTGGATCAGCTGGATATTAGTGATTCAGAACCAGAGATCTTGAGGCACACTGAAGCTTACATCAGAGAGCCCGTCTCAGCATAATCCTCTACAATTCCATGAACTGTAATGAAGAAACGGTTGGCATACTGGGTTGATGATAAAAATATACGAAGGTTGCCATGCTGGCACTGCTGCTTAATTGCAGAAAAGACACAATTTGTATTTTGATTGGCAAATCAAGTCCAACAGATGAGTTGGACTTGATTCCTGCATTTTGGGATGAATCCCATCTGTATAATCTGACTCACTCAACCTGACCATAGTGAAGTGTGCCCATAATCATAATCATTGGGGCCTATAGCCGTGAACCAAGGCTTTGGCGTCTAACCAAACTGTTCTGCACTCCTCCCATTCACTAGAGCCCCCCAAGGAAGAGGTAAAGTTGGCGGCAACAGCAGGGAAGAAGCAGACCAAGAAGAAGGTGGAGGAGGTGGTAGAGGAAGAGGAGGAGGAATATGTGGTGGAGAAGGTGCTGGACCGACGGGTGGTAAAGGGACGCGTGGAGTTTCTGCTCAAATGGAAAGGCTTCTCAGAGTGAGTTAAGACTTAATGCTTGTAATGCTACAGTCACAGAAATTAAATTAGCATGAATTACATAAAATCATGTAGACATAAGCTATTTTTATTATAATTTTGCATCTCTTTATTGGTACCCATGGGGTAGTGGAGCTTGGGGTAGCTGGGGGACTTGCGCAATGCAACAGGAGTTGTCATATGCCCTGGGCCCTCCGGATCTGCAACAGGTTGAGCATATTGGTCACCATTTTCCTCACAGAGCATGTTGTGCAAGGTCTCCACTGTCTCTGGCTTGAGACAAATGGTGATGTGGAACACTTGCCAGCGGTTGGCAAGTATGCCAAATGAGATCTGGCTGTCCTGTTTTCAAGGGCATGTTGAAGAGAGCATCCCCCAAAAACACCTACAGTGAGGGAAAAAAGTATTTGGTCCCCTGCTGATTTTGTACGTTTGCCCACTGACAAAGAAATGATCAGTCAATCATTTTAATGGTAGGTTTATTTGAACAGTGAGAGACAGAATAACAACATCAAAATCCAGAAAAAACGCATGTCAAAAATGTTATAAATTGATTTGCATTTTAATGAGGGAAATAAGTATTTGATCCCCTCTCAATCAGAAAGATTTCTGGCTCCCAGGTGTCTTCTATACAGGTAACGAGCTGAGATTAGGAGCACACTCTTAAAGGGAGTGCCCCTAATCTCAGCTTGTTACCTGTATAAAAGACACCTGTCCACAGAAGCAATTAATCAATCAGATTCCAAACTCTCCACCATGGCCAAGACCAAAGAGCTCTCCAAAGATGTCAGGGACAAGATTGTAGACCTACACAAGGCTGGAATGGGCTACAAGACCATCGCCAAGCAGCTTGGTGAGAAGGTGACAACAGTTGGTGCGATTATTCGCAAATGGAAGAAACACAAAATAACTGTCAATCTCCCTCGGCATGGGGTTCCATGCAAGATCTCACCTCGTGGAGTTGCAATGATCATGAGAACGGTGAGGAATCAGCCCAGAACTACACGGGAGGATCTTGTCAATGATCTCAAGGCAGCTGGGACCATAGTCACCAAGAAAGCAATTGGTAACACACTACGCCGTGAAGGACTGAAATCCTGCAGCGCCCGCAATGTCCCCCTGCTCAAGAAAGCACATATATATGCCCGTCTGAAGTTTGCCAATGAACATCTGAATGATTCAGAGGAGAACTGGGTGAAAGTGTTGTGATCAGATGAGACCAAAATGGAGCTCTTTGGCATCAGCTCAACTCGCCGTGTTTGGAGGAGGAGGAATGCTGCCTATGACCCCAAGAACCCCATCCCTGCCGTCAAACATGGAGGTGGAAACATTATGCTTTGGGGGTGTTTTTCTGCTAAGGGGACAGGACAACTTATTTAGGAAATTCAAGCTGTTGTAGCCTTTTTAACCTGTATTTATTTGCCACAGTGAGGACAATACATGGGAACCGCAGGACAACCTGGATTGCCCTGACCTGATTGCTGAGTACATGCAGAATCATCATAACAAAAAAGAAAGTTACAAGAAAGAGTCTGGTGGCAAGAGGAAAGCTGGCGAGTCTGACACAGAGGCAGCGGGTGAAGAAGGCAGGCCCAAGAAGAAGAAAGATGAGGTGAGAGCCTGTACTTGGTTTCAATATTAAAGAACATGCCTGATACTATAGACCGTGAATGTAGCCTTGTACTGAACCTTCTCCCCCTTCCATCACTCTTTCAGGCAGAGAAGCCCAGAGGCTTTGCTCGTGGACTTGACCCCGAACGGATCATTGGAGCCACAGACTCCAGTGGAGAGCTGATGTTCCTCATGAAATGGTGAGTTCTGGGCAGCATTGAGATTTTGACACTTTTTGCTATACGGTACTGGGAGAGTGGAAGATTTGTCAAATACTAGTTGTCCCCTCCAGAAAAGTGGGACAAAAAAACGTACATTCTGTCTCCACAGGAAGAACAGTGATGAGGCGGACTTGGTGCCGGCCAAGGAGGCCAACATTAAATGTCCACAGGTGGTCATCTCCTTCTACGAGGAGCGTCTGACATGGCACTCCTACCCCACCGAGGAGGAAGAGAAGAAGGATGAGAAGAACTAGCCACAGGTCCAGGATGAAGGGGGAGGGGGTTTAGATTGGAGGGGTGGGACAGAGAAGCTGATTAGTTTCAAAACCCTTCTTTCTGCAAACCCGGACTGTTGAAACGTAAACAGAGGTTGACAGATGGGTAGGGATGATGGGAAGACTTGTCAAGGAGTTGGGTTGGGGGGCATGGGTAAATAGAACTCGCAAGTCTCAAGATCATTTTATCAGGCCTCACTTTTGGGTCTTATCAGCTAGGATCATGGGAAATGTCGTTTTCAGTCCCTGAGCACTGAATTGCTTCAAAATCACCAGCTTCGCCTCAGAAAAGCTTTTGTCAAGATACACTTTTGAGTTAGCAAGGTATTACTACAGCAGCTGAGTTTACAAAATGGAATGGTCAGATTCCAAAACAAGATCCAGCAAAAGTTCTCAGCTAATTCAATTGAAATAGCCAATCTTAATTTCCAGTTTTCTTGCGTGAAATGTTGAAGTTGATTTCTAGTCAGAGCATTATCTTGTACCTACACAAGATAATCGAGCAACTTGCGGTGCTTTTTGTTTCTCTTTCTACTTTTTAAGAAACTCTGTTTTAAGTGTTGGCACCTGCCTTCCTTTGCCATATCATTATCATATAATGTGTAAATAGTTGTGGTTTTATTTGGTTAGTTTTATTTGGTTATGAGTGCGATCTAAGAAGAAGGATTCTATTTGAGTGTTTTGGATTAGTTAGTCTGGATTCTGGTCTTTAAGTGTTACGCATAGGAGGTATATAGAGTTGTGAACAATGGTATGGAGCAGGGTGTCCGTTAGGAAAGCGTGGTGCTGGACATTTGACTGGCAGCATTTTAATTTACCGGACATTTGAGAAATGTATCCGACCCATATGCATTGGGTGCGTAACCTGATTAGGGAGTACAGCCACAGTGCTCAGAATGACAGAAATCACATTTAGATTATGGTAATTCATCTAAAAATAACATGCAAATCGAGGATGCAATGGCGTGCATCCTTACCAAATTCCGATGCGCACTTTGAAGATGTTAGAATAACTGTCCACATTTTACTTTTCCTCAGCCAACAAGATGAGTAATGAACAGCAAAATCACTAGCCTATGTCAATCTACTATCCCCCATAGTAGAACGTTTTACCTATTTATTGGTCAGCTTGTCATTCTGTGCGAGAAAGAAATGGCCTACTCCAAACAGACTCTGGGACAGTTGTGGGACGACAGATCCCAAATTCATACAACCAGTAGGCCCAGGCTACATTAACAAAACACATCAAAGCAATGAGGCTGATGCAATGTTCCACAATGCTGAATGTTCGTTCCATAATGCAATTAGCAGGAAAACACTGTTGTTTCATGAGATGAAAATATCCATTAGATCTCCCCTCTTCATCTAAAGATGCAACAACTAGCATGGGTTGCTAATATGACTAGGATTGTGCCTTTGACTACTGGACAATGAAAGAAAGTTGATTTGAAAACCAATAGAACATGAGAGAAATAGGCTACTGGTTTCAATAGCATATGGAACTCTAAAACAATTGCCTTTACGTTTCTATGGTCGGAATTTGGCTAGGCTACTTTGAAGCAAGGTAAGACATGTCTCATAATATGTAGTAAAACATTCAGGTTTCAAACAATTAAGAATGTTTTCTAAATGCATACTGCCTCCATTTCAAGTGGTTTGTGACGGGCTGAAGCCTGCATACCGTTGCCTAGGCACTTAAAATAAGGGCGCTTCAATTACCAGTTAAGAAATAAAAAGAATAGCTATTTTTAATGGTGGCCATCAACTTTTTTCAACACACAAATGCATTTAGAATTGTTGCGCAATGATTGGGCTTATAAAAGTACGTTTCACTCCAGCAGCAACGAACACATTTCACTCCAGCAGCAACGAACACACTGTTTGAGAAGCTGTACCAGCTGTCTTGACAGATTATCTGCTCAAATTAGGCTCTGCATCTGTATGCGTGTGATAAATAAGATACATCAAGACTAATGAAAATACACACGCGGCAATTTAATTCCTCTAAATTATCCTAATTAACCTATAGACTGATAAGCTTGACCGGTCAAATGTATTTGCATCGACTGGTATTTCAATCAATTAATAGGCTAAAAAGCTTTATTTTGCAATGTTTTTTTGTTTTTTGTTTTCATACAATTGGCCGGTGCCAATTTCATTTATCGGCTTTTCACTTTTTTTATCGGCCAAAAGACTGCTATTACCGGCTAACAGAATCCCTGGTATGGAGCTACTAACTTTATTGTAGAGCACCAGTATGACCTATGTAACCTGAGTTGTTTGTGGTCTCGTACCCGTGGCTAGTAAGACTTGATTGGTGTGATAACACCCTCAGAAAACAGGCAACAAGTAAGAAGCTAGAGATGAAGATGGGAAAGATGGGCTTTCACTCAGATTCATCTTTGGTGCAAAGCTTCATTTACTATAACGCCCACATATTCTGTCCCTATTTCTTGTTGAGCTCTTCCCATGTGCAGTACGTGCTCACCATTCATAGGCTTCCTTGCGGTGATTTGGGCTTTTAGGAGGTTTGGTATTAGCGTCAAACTGCACTGTAAATACGTGGATTTGGATTAAGGGGGTGGGAAGGGTTGGGCTCAGTCAAGGCCCATGGTTTTATTTGATTGGCAATCAGTAAAAATTGGCTATGTGGTTACGAAGATGATGGATCGACAAAAACCAATAATGATGACATTTAATTTTTCTTGCAATGCAACCAACATAAGCCAGTAATTCAAGTGTCAAATCTCTCCCAATAGGTATACACAGAGGTAAATGTAGTGTCTATGCCAGGGCTCTCCAAACCTGTTCCTGGAGAGCTACCGTCCTTTAGGTTTTCGCTCCAACCCTAATCTAGCGCACTTCAACGGGGGTTGAAGATAACCTACAGGAGAGTAGCTCTCCAGGAACAGGGTTGGAGAACCCTGGTCTATGCACATGCACCTCTTTTAAATAAAGACGATGGGCCCCTAGGTATAGTCTGTATTGTGATTCAAAGTAAATACAACGGTTTTATGGTGGTCTGTTTTATAGTGTAAAGTAAATCTATCCAAGTTGTTGGCAGCCATGTGAATGTAGATCAATCTAGCAATTTATCCATCTCACACAACTGACAAACTGATTATGGGCCTTCTCCCCAGGAAATCGCAAGACCAGATAAAGACGACTTCTCCAACTAAGCTATTTCTATTTTCAGACTTTACCTTTGAGCTCTGATGTTAATTCTCGCTGTGTCTGGACCTGTTATATTAAAATGAGCTGCCAATTAAAGATCTGACACCCTCACAGAGGTGGGTGGGTTATATTCAAGTTTGGTTTGTGGGGCTTCGCTACCTCAATTGCAGAATTGTTCACTGCTCTACTGTGTCTGAATATCCCTCTTCTGGCATCTTTTAAATCCTAAATTGTTGTCATTGATTTAATTGATTAATCAGAGCTAACAATGGCTTGAATGAAAAAGTGTTAATCGATTTTAACTGATTTAATTGTGACTAACATTTAAATGTTGAGGTACTGAAGACAGCCACCAGTACCAGGGTTTTACAGCCCTGGTTATAGAGCCCGTTGCCTTGGATTGATTTTGCATTGGCATTTTACTGCTCATTTTAACATGACAAGTCTAAGAGGGCTGTATATCTTTTCTAATATACCAGACTGGAAGATGTCTATATATACAGTATATCCTAGTCAAGTGGCTCATATGTAACCTTTTAGTTATTTTGTCTTTGACTCTTTCTCGTGTCTGCTGAAGATACATCTCTTGTTGCATGTTTCTTGCTTTCAATCAATGTCACCATTTGCAGTGGTTAATTTTACTTGTTTAAATGTTTTTGGACAATAAATCTTTTTTGTTAACAGTGGTGTTTCATATAATTTGTTGAAACAAGTTAACTTGTAATTCTTTAGTACGTATAAGTATTCTTAGAAATATCACTCAATCGTCAAGGCAAAAAGGGATAAAAAAGAGATGTAGGTTGAAAATGTTTGATTCACCCAAAAGTAACAACCCTTGGTTGCCAGCAAGTATTCAAAAGCATGAAACAGAATGGGGTGAGAACTCCTCGTAAAACAAAATCTTGTTATTTTCAAACCAATAATACAATAAAGTACCTCTAATTCAGTGTTTTTGTTAAATACTTTTCTGTTGATGATATTGGACACTTGGAAAGTGCTTTATAAAGCATAACAGTAGTGTAAAGACACAATCACAGTACTTGTAGTGGCATTTAATACATTTCTTTACTTATTTTTAACGTTTATGAAAATGCAGTGATATTTTATGCAGCTTTAATCGTTGTATTCCAGTATGATACCGGTGATAAGGCATTCAATTTCAACTTGTTACACATAAAAGTCCACAACCATATTATTAACACAATATTGTTGGCACTGGGCCTGAATAGATACTATATCCAGGTACTTTAAACCAATCTATTTCCTGAATATCATTGTACCATTGTCTGCATCATGTTGTCATACAATCACATCCCCTGAGAACCACAGATCGCTGTGTGGGTAACTAAGGCTTTACTAAAGGCACTATCCAACTCCTTCACAATCTGACAGCTATTATGCACCAGTTAATGGCAACTTATGTTGTGTTCGATAGGCTTTAGACGGGAGCAAACCCTTTTGGTTCCCTTTTGTTCTCAACCATGTTCCCTGTCTTACCCTTTTTACTTGGGTATACACTCACCGGTCAGTTCATGAAAATGGATCACTCTTACAGACAGTGAGTCTCGTGGCTGAGGCTTGCTATATAAAGCAGGCAGATGGGCATCGAGGCATTCAGTTACTGTTCGGTTGAACGTTAGAATGGGCAACAAGTAACCTAAGCGACTTTGAGCGTGTTATGATCGTCGGTGCCAGGCTCGCCGGATCCAGTATCTCAAACGTCCGCCCTCCTGAGCTTTTCACACACAACGGTGTCTAGGGTTTACCGAGAAGGGTGCGACAAACAAAAAACATCCAATCAGCGGCAGTCCTGTGGACGAAAACAGCTTGTTGATGAGAGGTCGAAGGAGAATTGCAAGAATCGTGCAAGCTAACAGACGTGCCACAAACAGACAAATAACGGCGCAGTACAACAGTGGTGTGCAAAACGGCATCTCGGAATGCACAACTTGTCGATCCTTGTCACGGATGGGCTATTGCAGCAGACGACCACACCGGGTTCCACTCCTATTAGCTAAATACAAGAAGCGGCTCCAGTGGGCATGTCATCACCAACAATGGACAATTGAGGACTGGAAAAACATTGCCTGGTCTGCTGAATCCCGGTTCCTGTTGCGTCATGCTCATGGCAGAGTCAGGACTTGGCGTAAGCAACATGAGTCCATGGACCCATCCTGCCTGGTACAGGCTGGTGTAGGTGGTGTACTGGTGTGGGGAATGTCTTTTGGCTAAAGGCCTTAGGCTAGCCCTTCCTCCTTGTCACCTTAGTGTTTTTATGTACTGTATTTCTTTGGAAGGCTGACACGGTCCTCCCAACAGTTATTTTGCTCCTGAGACAGGTTTTCCCTTTGTTTTTCCAAGATGCTCACAAGATTCTTGCATGATCATATTTGTGCTACATGTCCTTTCCAGCAAATAAACTATCAGAGCAGATTAAACCGATTTAGGAAGACCATTTGCATCCTCTTGCATCTTTCCTTTTCAGTTCCCTCTTCTTGTGAGACATTCTTGAATCTCTACAACCATCCCCTTGTCAATCGACTCGTTGAGTCCTACACCAAACTAGACACCCAACTAATCTTTTCACTTTTTTCTGTCCTTCTGTTTCTTGTGGGGCTTGCGGTTTTGCTCACTGACTGAACCGTTCCGTGTCGCAAGCAGGACCTGTCCATCATTGCCAAATTGGAGGGTGTAGTCAGTGGTAGGCAAGGGTCTTCCTTGCTCATCCCGCAGACGGGAAAAAACCTCCTGGTACAGACTACTGAGCCGCTGCTTCATTTCCCGGACGGAGCGAAGGTTCTCTGCCTTTTCCTTCAACAGGCGGGCCTTGTGGCGGCATAATCCTTCTACTCCCTCCTCGAGCCCAAACAGGACATCGAGCTTGCGTCGGCGGCAGTTCTGAGCAGCCATCTTGTTTTTGCCCCGCCTGCGAATGTCACGGATCAGGTTGAGCTGGGCCTCACTGAGATGATGCTTGGTCAGAAGTTCGTTGAAATCCTCCACGGGCAGGTTGACGATGAGATCGTTGGAAAAGGGGATCTTCATGGTGCGAGCCCGGCGCTCATCACGGCCCCAAAGCTTATCGGAAATGTCATGCTCATAGGGTTTGCTATAACGCGACTTTGGTAGCTTGAGGGATTTTCCCTGCGTGGGAGAGGTGGCCCTAGGCTGGTTGTAGGTATGGTCGTGGCCCACTTGTTCCAGCCAAGGGAGGTTGTTGAAACGCCCAGGCTTCTGGTAGCTTGTGCTGCACATCTTGCTGACTTCTGGGAAGTAGCCTCCCACGGCACCCTCCTCTCGCTCCACAATAGCCTCCATGTCAGAGCTGTAGCCCACAGCCCCTTCGTCAGAAAACACAGAAGAGTCAGATGATGAAGATGACGAAGAAGATGAATAGGATGCCTCCGAACTGCTAGGGGATGCAGGGCTGTGGCTGAAGTTCAGAGAAAGTCCAGAGTCCGAGTCTAGCTCCTCCTCAAGTTGGGAGGCCTGTGTTGGGTTGAATCCTTCCTCCAGAGCCAGGTCCAGGAAGCTAATCTCATCCAGCAAGGCATCATCCAAGAGGGAGCCGAGTGGGTTAGGCAGGACTGGTTCCTCCAGAAAGAGACTTGACTGAATGGAAGGCATGTGGTTGCCAACTGTGCCATTGAGTGCCAAAGGAAGGGCGGTATCTGTCAGGTCAGATGGGCCAAAGGTCAAGTTAAGGTCAAAGTCAGGTCTGCTGGAGGACTGACTAAGCAGGGCTGGCTGGAGTGGGGCCTCCAGGGGAACACTGTCCCCGAAGCTGGGGTTGAAGGGGTAACTATCTTGGCTGCTTCCGGGCAGGATTGCCTGATGAAGGCTGACATCCTGGTGAACAGGGTCCATCAAGCTGGAACTCTGAATAGATCCAGATTGCATTACATCTCTGCCAAGGTCCATATCCTTCCAAAATAATACAATAAGTTGGATTAGATTTATTTTGAATTGCTCTCAGGGCAAGGTTAGTTCGACGTTTATACCCTTTTTGACACATTTAAACAAATAATGATTTTGTGAAGGGGATAAAAGCAGAAACCACTTAGGACTTACTTCTGGCTCCATGATGGCGAGAATATCATGCCACTGCTGCTCCAAGTCCAGAGAGGGATCCTCATGGGACAGCAGGGGGGACAGAAGAAGCTCTCGGACAGGGGTTGGGTCGTCTCCGCTGGTTTCCCTCAGATCTATGCCAACTGGGTCTGACAGCTAAAAACAGAAACATCACAATGGTCATTCAATGGTCAACAAACCTATCAATGGTCATCTCTTACCCTAGTAACATCAAATAAAACAACTGTACTGTACCTCTATCTCCTCTCCAAAAGGGAAGGTGTCTTCCATGAGCTGTAGACATTCCTGGAAGGACATTGAGGACTGAGCTTCCAAGCTGGCAAACTGATGAGAAGAGAACAAGAGTGAGCAGAGAGCTACCTGGATGTTCTGGATGGTGACAATGGTTCCTTTCTTCTGAGCTGAACTGACACAGATGGTGGAGATGATTAGGCTTTTTTTACAGAACATGATATGGCAAGAGGGTAAAACTAAACAGTTGGAACAGCGTGGCTTTATCTGAATCATTTTGTAGTGTGGTATCAAATGTTCATTTCATTTCACTATATTGTATTTCTCCTTAGGCCAAGGAAACTCATGCTCCAGCTACACGCCACTGAGGAGTGCAAATGCCTTTGTAATGATATGTGGCTGCCCCTGTTCCTGGAATTAGGTATAGCGGATTAGCAAGAGTTTCAGGTCTCTTCTGACCCGTAGGAGTGCAAGAGATTGCTGGTAGAGCACGGCGCTTGTAACGCCAAGGTAGTGGGTTCGATCCCCGGGACCACCCATACACAAAAAAAATTATGCACGCATGACTGTAAGTCGCTTTGGATAAAAGCGTCCGCTAAATGGCATATTATTATTATTTATAAACTGCCATATAAAAGGGCAGGTTTCTGGGTTATGTTCTTATTTTACAAACTTGGGAAGACTGCTTCCTATCTCCACCTCATCTACCCCAAACACCCTATCCTGTTTCACGACGCACAGCCAGGGTAGAAAACCCATATTTGGTTTCAAGCAACCAGAGTGTTACTCTTTCCCAAAATGCATGTGTCAGGGCCTCTCACTCGGTCTCTCAGCTGACGGGGCAAGTTTCCAATGTATGGAGAAAGCGGCTCCTATTCCATTTTGAATGCCGGTCTTGCCATGTCTAACATTTCAGCATGTGCGTTTTATAACATAATTGTACCAGGAAGTCTAAGAACAAGACCAAGTGTACAGGTATGTATGACATATGGACATTTATAAGCCTCAGGACGGAGTCCCACCTGATCAGATAAATCCTGTGCAAGTTCTCTATTCGCACGGTCGTAAGAGCGTCCACCATCCCTCCAGATTTCTCTCCAGGTGTCCCCCACCGGCTCCTCCTCTCCCTCCTCAGGCCTCTGATGGCGTCCATGATTAGAGTGATCCTGCCAAAGCGTATCTGTATCCTGTGAACATACAATAATAATTGAAATGTTAGGTGTAGCATAATAACTATGAAATTCAATCATCCATACAATGCCCTATGTATCCTTGTATGTTTGATTTAAGCTCTCGCTCTACTATTATTAGATAGGACACAGGCCAGGGACAAAAAGAGTAAGCGGATTTCAGCCACTGCGTTTGATCTACTATTGTTTATTTTTCCATACAGGCCCATACATTAGTAGACATTGCATACAAACAGTGAGATGGCTATGAATAGATTTAACCTTTTCCTTAAGTTGGAGCTTAGAGATACCAACTGCTCCAGTCGTGTCCCTAAACCAGTTCTAAATTTGCAGCTGATCCTCTCGCCCTCCACTGAAAGGGACTATCGGAGTTCGGGATGTTGCCCTTTGTGATGCCCCGATTCTAACCTTACAGTACAGCGACCTGAGTGAAACTGAGTAACTAACCGTCTTTGGCCTCTCCTTGGCTGTTTACACTTTGACTGTTTGGAACATTCTGAACTTGGTGACCGACCCCTTGAACAGTATTTTACAACATGTTTGACCTCTGACCAGGGGTTGGAACCGAAATTATATACTACACATTAGGAATATTTTGGTAACAGAAAATAACATTATTAACCGGTTCTCAAGGTTAGAAAATAATGGTTCTGTTCCAGAAGACTAGAGATCACTTTTGTTCCTGGTTCTGTTTCCCTTCCTAAAAAAAGGTTCTCTGGTTTTCTGTTTTGTTCCCTGAACCGGTTCCAACCCCTGCCTCTGAACATTCCCTGAGGCCTGTGGTCCTGCCACTCTGGCATCACTCTTATGGGTTTGGATCAATGTGTACCTAAATGTGACTGGAAGGGATTGCACAGCATGTTTTCCTCAAGCATAAGCACAACATGAGAAGTGTTCGGTAAGGGGGATGTGAGGCCAAAGGCAGCAGCTCTGGACAGATTTGGGCAGTGGATGGGGTCCATAGGGCTATGTGTAGAGGGCTCTGGGTATAGGGCTATACATATACCTGCTCCTGTCTGAAGAGGTGATCTACTACTAGCCTAAGCTAGTAAACAAGCGTTGCGAAATCAAAGATATGAATGTGTGCCAGAATGATGCCACCTCGTGTTACAAAACAAACAAGCTGTGGTCACAGGGGCAATATTCTGAGTGAAACATACCTACAAAGCTCTCTGAGTGCTATTTGAGCTGTGAATCCAAGTTTCCAAGACAAACATCTGGGGTCACAGCAGAGCTGGCGGGTCAAGACGTTGTCAGTTTGCCACCTTCCACAATATTGACATGTCACAATATTACTGCCCTGAGAGGCTCAGACAAATGAGCCTGGCAGCACTTCAGTGTTTCATTGAGCAAGTCAAGGTATTAGAGCAGAGATGAGTTGTAATAACTGAATAACAAGTCTGGGAAGTTAAAACAAATTATAGCACATGGCCTTAGGAGAGGTCCTTGACCCCTCTCTCTGTATGAATGCACAGAGAGAGGGGAGGGCAAATGGTTCACTGAGCAGTATCCCAGAGGAAACATTGTTGACCTTCCTCCTCAAACATAATATTGCAGGACTGGTGATGTCTGGCACTTTAGACATGTCCAGCCTGGTGATTGTCTGGCACCCTGTAGCAATAGCAACACCTATAAGAGGGGGAGATGTGGTGGCATGCCCCAGACCCAGACAGAACCACACATTGCTGCCATAATATGATGCAGCTGGAGTTAAAAAATACAGCCCAGCTGTCTCTGTGCGGTTGCTGCTTCCCTGATGAGTTAGTCTGGGGGAAGGTCGTTATCAGGGACGCTTAGTTCCTTGGAGGGAACTAAGAGTATCAGTATGTCTGAATAGTTACATCACGATTGCAGCACCTAACTTGTCCCCTAACTTGGTCTCAGATGCTCAGTTCAATATCACTTACCCAGAAAGCTTAACCATCTATGGAAGGAAGAGCATAAGAATATATATTTTTAACTATGTTCCAAAACAAAATATACAGTTGAAGTCGGAAGTTTACATACACTTAGGTTGGAGTCATTAAAACTTGTTTTTCAACCACTCCACACATTTATTGTTAACAAACTATAGTTTTGGCAAGTCGGTTAGGACATATACTTTGTGCATGACACAAGTAATTTTTCCAACAATTGTTTACAGACAGATTATTTCACTGTATCACAATTCCAGTGGGTCATACATTTACATACACTAAGTTCACTGTGCCTTTAAACAGCTTGGAAAATTCCAGACAATTATGTCATGGCTTTAGAAGCTTCTGATAGGCTAATTGACATCATTTGAGTCAATTGGAGGTGTACCTGTGGATGTATTTCAAACTCTGTGCCTCTTTGCTTGACATCATGGGAAAATCAAAAGAAATCAGCCAAGACCTCAGAAAAAAAATTGTAGACCTCCACAAGTCTGGTTCATCCTTGGGAGCAATTTCCAAACGCCTGAAGGTACCACGTTCATCTGTACAAACAATAGTATGCAAGTATAAACACCATGGGACCACGCAGCCGTCATACCGCTCAGGAAGGAGAAGCGTTCTGTCTCCTAGACATTAACGTACTTTGGTGCGAAAAGTGCAAATCAATCCCAGAACAACAGCAAAGGACCTTGTGAAGATGCTGGAGGAAACCGGTACAAAAGTATCTATATCCACAGTAAAACGAGTCCTATATCGACATAACCTGAAGGCCGCTCAGCAAGGAAGAAGCCACTGCTCCAAAACCGCCATAAAAAAAACCAGACTACAGTTTGCAACTGCACATGGGGACAAAGATCGTACTTTTTGGAGAAATGTACTCTGGTCTGATGAAACAAAAATAGAACTGTTTGGCCATAATGACCATTATTATGTTTGGAGGAAAAAGGGGGTGGCTTGCAAGCAAAAGAACATCATCCCAACCGTGAAGAACGGGGGTGGCAGCATCATGCTGTAGGGGTGCTTTGCTGCAAGAGGGACTGGTGCACTTCACAAAATAGATTATATCATGAGGAAGGAAAATTATGTGGATATATTGAAGGAACATCTCAAGACATCAGTCAGGAAGTTAAAGCTTGGTCGCAAATGGGTCTTCCAAATGGACAATGACCCCAAGCATACTTCCAAAGTTGTGGCAAAATGGCTTAAGGACAACAAAGTCAAGGTATTGGAGTGGCCATCACAAAGCCCTGACCTCAATCCTATAGAACATTTGTTGGCAGAACTGAAAAAGTGTGTTTGAGCAAGGAGGCCTACAAACCAGACAGAAAGGGTGGTGGGGTTGGAAAGTAATAAAGGGGACTATATATTTTTTTTAAAGGATATGTATGTGTGTATGTATGTGTGTATGTATGTATGTGTATATATATATATATATATATATATATATATATATATATATATACACAGTGGGGAGAACAATTATTTGATACACTGCCGATTTTGCAGGTTTTCCTACTTACAAAGCATGTAGAGGTCTGTAATTTTTATCCTAGGTACACTTCAACTGTGAGAAACGGAATCTAAAGCAAAAATCCAGAAAATAACATTGTATGATTTTTAAGTAATTAATTTGCATTTTATTGCATCTCTCACAGTTGAAGTGTACCTATGATAAAAATTACAGACCTCTACATGCTTTGTAAGTAGTAAAACCTGCAAAATCGGCAGTGTATCAAATAATTGTTCTCCCCACTGTATATATATATATATATATATATAAAAACATGGGGGCTTGGAAGTGATGCAGACTATTACATTGATGGAAGTTACAATCTATCTGCAATATTAAGCTGATCTACCGCCCAAAAAAAGAAGAAAATAAGAAAAAGAGGCCTACAAACCTGACTCAGTTACACCAGCTCTGTCAAGAGGAATGGGCCAAAATTCACCCAACTTATTGTGGGAAGCTTGTGGAAGGCTACCCGAAACGTTTGACCCAAGTTAAACAATTTAAAGGCAATGCTACCAAATACTAATTGAGTGTATGTAAACTTCTGACCCACTGGGAATGTGATGAAAGAAATACAAGCTTAAATAAATCATTCTCTCTACTATTATTCTGACATTTCACATTCTTAAAATAAAGTGGTGATCCTAACTGACCTAAGACAGGGAATTTTTACTAGGATTAAATGTCAAGAATTGTGAAAACCTAAGTTTAAATGTATTTGGCTAAGGTGTATGTAAACTTCCGACTTCAACTGTATGTCAACAGGACTATATTCATGGGGGGTTGGTGGGAAAACATGAGGCATGTACATTTTACACTGAGTACCAGTTAGCAATGCCAAAAAACATGCCCTCCTGTCCAGAAATAGCCAACAGGGCTACACGTCCAGTCTGAACTGCATACTTGGTCAACTGTGACAGTGGACAGGCCAAATAACACCACTTTCTCTGCCCTGAGAGTGGCAGCTGATTTGGGAGGCTAAAACTAAAGCTGGTGTCTGTGGATGTCTGCAGTCACTGTGGCCCAAAAGACCAGAGGCCAGGAGATGGCAATGACACACAGAGGACTAAAACAAAACAACCCCCATACTTTTCCCAATCCAAAACAATCCCATTATGGAGTGTTGGAGAGTCCAGTGTAGGGTGCATACTCAGGCATGTTGCCAAGCAGATATATATATTTAGACCCTACAGTGGCTGAAAACTCCCTACACTCCCAAAGTGACTAATATTGTACCTCAGTGCTAAATGAAAGTGATTTGATAGGATTAGGAAATTCCCCTTCAAAGTCTAGGTTAGAGCAGAAAAATCTGTCCCCCGTGTTTGCAATATTTTAGGTATCTTCAGATAAGTTTATTTCCATAGTAAAATCAAGTATTATTGCGATTGCACTTCTAAATATGATTGGTGTACAAATACAATTAGCCTACACGGAATGTGTGTACTTATGATGACTATGCCAGCCAGTTTATTCCTACACCAAATCAGCTAGGCTGAGATGGGCGTGGATAGCTGTATATATGGGGCAAGACTGAACAGCCAGTGGCTAAAGTGGGACACATTTCCAGTCACACACCCCTCTCTGGCCTCCATTCCCCTGACACAGAGCAGCCTGGGCCCGGCCAGCGCGCCCCTCACAGTTAGTGGAACATATCAACAAGCAGCTCTCCCTCAGCTGTTGAAAAACAAGAGGAAGTCCAGCCAAGCTATTGGCATGCTGCTGCACTAACTCCTCGTGATTCAGTCATTCAATGCCCAACACTGTTTCTCAATGAGTGTTTCAGCTGGCAAAACACAGGCTCGAACAAAAGTGAGCACCTGCTAAAACATAATAATAATAATATGCCATTTAGCAGACGCTTTTATCCAAAGCGACTTACAGTCATGCGTGCATACATTATATTTTTTTGTGTATGGGTGGTCCCGGGGATCGAACCCACTACCTTGCCGTTACAAGCGCCGTGCTCTACCAGCTGAGCTACAGAGTGATGGGGTTGTGACTTGGGTTAATTGTAATTTCTTACAATTACTCAAATGTAACTGTTGCAATACAGTTGGATATCCACACTTACAGTGGGGAAAAAAGGATTTAGTCAGCCACCAATTGTGCAAGTTCTCCCACTTAAAAAGATGAGAGAGGCCTGTAATTTTCATCATAGGTACACGTCAACTATGACAGACAAAATGAGATTTTTTTTTCCAGAAAATCACATTGTAGGATTTTTAATGAATTTATTTGCAAATTATGGTGGAAAATAAGTATTTGGTCAATAACAAACATTTCTCAATACTTTGTTATATACCCTTTGTTGGCAATGACACAGGTCAAACGTTTTCTGTAAGTCTTCACAAGGTTTTCACACACTGTTGCTGGTATTTTGGCCCATTCCTCCATGCAGATCTCCTCTAGAGCAGTGATGTTTTGGGGCTGTCGCTGGGCAACACGGACTTTCAACTCCCTCCAAAGATTTTCTATGGGGTTGAGATCTGGAGACTGGCTAGGCCACTCCAGGACCTTGAAATGCTTCTTACGAAGCCACTCCTTCGTTGCCCGGGCGGTGTGTTTGGGATCATTGTCATGCTGAAAGACCCAGCCACGTTTCATCTTCAATGCCCTTGCTGATGGAAGGAGGTTTTCACTCAAAATCTCACGATACATGGCCCCATTCATTCTTTCCTTTACACGGATCAGTCGTCCTGGTCCCTTTGCAGAAAAACAGCCCTAAAGCATGATGTTTCCACCCCATGCTTCACAGTAGGTATGGTGTTCTTTGGATGCAACTCAGCATTCTTTGTCCTCCAAACACGACGAGTTGAGTTTTTACCAAAAAGTTCTATTTTGGTTTCATCTGACCATATGACATTCTCCCAATCCTCTTCTGGATCATCCAAATGCACTCTAGCAAACTTCAGACGGGACATGTACTGGCTTAAGCAGGGGGACACGTCTGGCACTGCAGGATTTGAGTCCCTGACGGCGTAGTGTGTTACTGATGGTAGGCTTTGTTACTTTGGTCCCAGCTCTCTGCAGGTCATTCACTAGGTCCCCCCGTGTGGTTCTGGGATTTTTGCTCACCGTTCTTGTGATCATTTTGACCCCACGGGGTGAGATCTTGCATGGAGCCCCAGATCGAGGGAGATTATCAGTGGTCTTGTATGTCTTCCATTTCCTAATAATTGCTCCCACAGTTGATTTCTTCAAACCAAGCTGCTTACCTATTGCAGATTCAGTCTTCCCAGCCTGGTGCAGGTCTACAATTTTGTTTCTGGTGTCCTTTGACAGCTCTTTGGTCTTGCTTGGAGTTTGGAGTGTGACTGTTTGAGGTTGTGGACAGGTGTCTTTTATACTGATAACAAGTTAAAACAGGTGCCATTAATACAGGTAACGAGTGGAGGACAGAGGAGCCTCTTAAAGAAGAAGTTACAGGTCTGTGAGAGCCAGAAATCTTGCTTGTTTGTAGGTGACCAAATACTTATTTCCACCATAATTTGCAAATAAATTCATAAAAAATCCTAAAATGTGATTTTCTGGATTTTTTTCCTCAATTTGTCTGTCATAGTTGACGTGAACCTATGATGAAAATTACAGGCCTCTCTCATCTTTTTAAGTGGGAGAACTTGCACAATTGGTGGCTGACTAAATACTTTTTTCCCCACTGTATCAAAAATAGACTGGATAAAACAAGACTGTTGATATTTTTCCTGTCTTTAAAGTGATTTATGTCTTAGTTACACCAGCTCTGTCAAGAGGAATGGGCCAAAATTCACCCAACTTATTGTGGGAAGCTTGTGGAAGGTTACCCGAAACGTGGTGAATACATATATATTTATTTTTTATTTATTTTTTTATACTGGCCCCCCGTGGGAATCGAACCCACAACCCTGGCATTGCAAATGCCATGCTCTATCAACTGAGCTACATCCCTGCCGGCCATTCCCTCCCCTACCCTGGACGACGCTGGGCCAATTGTGCGCTGCCCATGAGTCTCCTGAGTGGCGCAGTGGTCTAAGGCACTGCATCGCAGTGCTAACTGTGCCACTAGAGATCCTGGTTCGAATCCAGGCTCTGTCGCAGCCGGCCGCGACCGGGAGACTCATGGGCGGCGCACAATTGGCCCAGTGTCGTCCAGGGTAGGGGAGGGAATGGCCGGCAGGGATGTAGCTCAGTTGATAGAGCATGGCATTTGCAATGCCAGGGTTGTGGGTTCGATTCCCACGGGGGGCCAGTATAAAAAAATTAAAATAAAAACTATATGTATTCACTAACTGTAAGTCGCTCTGGATAAGAGCGTCTGCTAAATGACTAAAATGTAAATGTTTGACCCAAGTTAAACAATTTAAAGGCAACACTACCAAATACTATTTGAGTGTATCAACTTCTGACCCACTGGGAATGTTTTCAAGTTCAGCAAGACCTCAGAGAGTAAACATTGACTACTAATGTCCTAAATGATTCGCCTCATCATATTGGATATTATACTTCTGCTATTGAAATCTGAAGAGGTCAGCCCACCAAACACCATGCCTAATATACAATCCCCTGAACTTTTTTACTAGAATAAAACAAATATTTTACTTTAAGGCCTTTCCACACTGTACGTTGGATTCAGTCTTTTACGATTATTACATGTCACACTGTGCAATGTTACCAAATCAAATTCTTTATCAACCTGGCCAGATTGTATGATTTGCTTCAGTTTTGTCGTCACATTCTGCGATTGGCTTGAGAGGTTACGTCAGCTGACGTAGGCTAGGCCAACTGCAGCAGTGTATTTGATCTGCGCATTTGCCAGCACCAGCAGTGCACGCCTCCTACGCTTATGCACGAGGGAAGTGAGTTCGGAAAAACTGAAAGTATGCGTCTATTAATAGTTTTCAAATACAACCTTTATATGTCAGAATCAAATATGCTTCCCAAAAATAACATGGTCACTGTGGTAAAACGTTTATTTTGACTTGCGATTTTGTGCATTTATCAAAATCCCATTAGGTAGCCTGATTTCTGATGTCATGTAAAGATTATTAGAGAAATCATTCTTCTTGCAAAGCATGTAAATGTTTAAATCAAACTATTATATTAATCTGACTATTCAATCATGTTATTGTGTGCATACTCAGTGCCGGCTGTGTTCCTATTGGTCAGTCACTGGGATCAGCTCGTAACACCAGCCACACTACACGATAAAGGCTCAACACTTTGTCAGAGCCTACAACCAAACATTGTGGTACTTAATCTGCAGACCTAGACCCTGTCACACAACAACCGGATGTTCCGGTTTTCAGGGGAAATGGAAAGAGAGCCTGTGACGCGACTTCCGCTTTTGGACGTTAACAAAGCGCCACTCCATCTTAACTCCACCACATTTACTAGATTGGTTGAACAGTGCAGAAGGGAACCTCCCCCAACATTTTTTCCTTCTCATCAAGAGCAGCATGTAGGGGGATCTAATTTCAGGCATGTCTTTTACGCCTGCTAAGTTATGTTAGTCACACTGAATGAGCCAAGACGTCTGACAATCGTTTACGACCTAAGAATTTGCGCACAACGTGGAAATTTTGTCTGAGACTGCAAAAATTGTGGTATAAGATGGCTAAAACCGTACAGTCTGTGCGGGCCTTTAATTAATTATCAGTCACTTATTCTGAAAAGTAACCTACACTTACTTCTTGACTTGCAATCTTAGATGCATTCCCTAATGTTGTAAATTAAGGGAGTTATAAATAGTAAATATCTTGCCTTGTGTGCATCACAATCTCTTAGCTATGCAGGTTTGAAATTAACAGCATGATACAGCAAATACAACCAGGAAACTTTTGCTTGCTTGAATCCGAGGAGGGTGGGAATCGCCACTGTGTTTACTGAAAGGCTGTTCTCATACAAGGGTGTTCTTCTCTCCCAGTTAAGCCTCCTTTTATAGAGAGATCTCAGCCTCTGGTAAGTCCTGCCTTTGATCCGTAATGATATATGACAGGCGTAGCATTTGCCTACTGTAAGTCAACAGTTTGATAGGTGCCTAATTGAACCCACTTCTCCAGTGGCAGAGTCTTGGACTGATTTGCAGTAATGTAGTTTACACTATTTCATATTGTGATATTGTGTATATTCTAAGGATGGAATTCATTTGTTTCAGGCACTGCATTGTATTTGAACATTAAATAAGCTCTGAATCAGCCAATTATCTTGAACACCACTCTATGCTACCACTGCTCCTACTGACATGGAGTGTAGAAGAGTGCACCATAGTTTACCTCTTCATAGAGATCCTCATCCTCATCCTCCTCCTCATGGCTTCTTCTTAGAAGGGGCGCCAAGGTGTCCAGACTGTCCTCTCTGATCGGCCCGTAACCCGACTCCGGCGACCCCGCCCCCACGCTTGACCTCATGACCGACCCCACCTGGTCACCTGCATGATCCTCCAACCCACTTATCCCTCCCTCCAGGGGGGCTGGCTGACTAGGAGCCCCCACCACCAGGGCATCAGGCTCGCGCCGCACCAACCAGGTTTCTAGCTCCGAGCTGGGCACCCAGAGGCGGTCCAGGGAGCGGACCCAGCCCAGGATCCTCCGGGCTGTGAAGAAGCCGTCCAGGTCCACACACTTGGGATGGAGGTCCTGGCCGTCCAGCTGGTTGTGGAGGTTGTGGAACTGTGTCTGGATGAGGGCCGAGGTGGGGCCCTGGATCATCTCGTGCCAGGGGGGCAGGTAAGGGCCCACATCTACTCTGACCCCAACCAGGCTGAGCAGGATGGTTACCTGGATCAAGCCTTCTGTGAAATATTTCTTCAGACACACCATGTCTTGTCTTCAGAGTTTACAGGGTGAGTGCAAGTAATGAGGGGAAAGGGAATGGAGATGTGGTGGGTGGCAAAATGCCAAGTGTCAGCCTCCGAAGAGTTATTGTCTGTTGATGGGTTATCTATAGCTTCAAGTCAATGTCATAAAGAGGGAAAATAAAGCTATTTTGGATACACCAAAATAGACACTATGGTGAAATAAAAAAAAGTGATGTATCCAAAAGTCCTCTCCTCTTCACTCTTCCAAATATCGTTAAATCCTATATAGACAAACACAACATGAAAGAATAAAGTTAGATAATACAATTAATTGATGAGTTATTTCAAAAGAATGTCACGTTGAAAATATGAATAAAAAGTAGTAAATCCAACATAATTCATGTAATAGCAGAGGAAGAGGCTGCTGAATTCAACCCCATGCTATAACATCAGGGCCGGTTCCAGGCATACAGTGAGGGGGGAAAAGTATTTGATCCCCTGCTGATTTTGTACATTTGCCCACTGACAAAGACATGATCAGTCTATAATTTTTATGGTAGGTTTATTTGAACAGTGAGAGACAGAATAACAACAAAAAAATCCAGAAAAACACATGACAAAAATGTTATAAATTGATTTGCATTTTAATGAGGGAAATAAGTATTTGACCCCTCTGCAAAACATGACTTAGTACTTGGTGGCAAAACCCTTGTTGGCAATCACAGAGGTCAGACGTTTCTTGTAGTTGGCCACCAGGTTTGCACACATCTCAGGAGGGATTTTGTCCCACTCCTCTTTGCAGATCTTCTCCAAGTCATTAAGGTTTCGAGCCTGACGTTTGGCAACTCGAACCTTCAGCTCCCTCCACAGATTTTCTATGGGATTAAGGTCTGGAGACTGGCTAGGCCACTCCAGGACCTTAATGTGCTTCTTCTTGAGGCACTCCTTTGTTGCCTTGGCCGTGTGTTTTGGGTCATTGTCATGCTGGAATACCCATCCACGACCCATTTTCAATGCCCTGGCTGAGGGAAGGAGGTTCTCACCCAAGATTTGACGGTACATGGCCCCGTCCATCGTCCCTTTGGTGCGGTGAAGTTGTCCTGTCCCCTTAGCAGAAAAACACCCCCAAAGCATAATGTTTCCACCTCCATGTTTGACAGTGGCGATGGTGTTCTTGGGGTCATAGGCAGCATTCCTCCTCCTCCAAACACGGCGAGTTGAGTTGACGCCAAAGAGCTCGATTTTGGTCTCATCTGACCACAACACTTTCACCCAGTTCTCCTCTAAATCATTCAGATGTTCATTGGCAAACTTCAGACGGGCCTGTATATGTGCTTTCTTGAGCAGGGGGACCTTGCGGGCGCTGCAGGATTTCAGTCCTTCACGGCGTAGTGTGTTACCAATTGTTTTCTTGGTGACTATGGTCCCAGCTGCCTTGAGATCATTGACAAGATCCTCCCATGTAGTTCTGGGCTGATTCCTCACCGTTCTCATGATCATTGCAACTCCACGAGGTGAGATCTTGCATGGAGCCCCAGGCCGAGGGAGATTGACAGTTATTTTGTGTTTCTTCCATTTGCGAATAATTGCACCAACTGTTGTCACTTTCTCACCAAGCTGCTTGGCGATGGACTTGTAGCTCTTTCCAGCCTTGTGTAGGTCTACAATCTTGTCCCTGACATCCTTGGAGAGCTCTTTGGTCTTGGCCATGGTGGAGAGTTTGGAATCTGATTGATTGATTGCTTCTGTGGACAGGTGTCTTTTATACAGGTAACAAGCTGAGATTAGGAGCACTCCCTTTAAGAGTGTGCTCCTAATCTCAGCTCATTAACTGTATAAAAGACACCTGGGAGCCAGAAATCTTTCTGATTGAGAGGGGGTCAAATACTTATTTCCCTAATTAAAATGCAAATCAATGTATAACATTTTTTATATGCGTTTTTCTGGATTTTTTTGTTGTTATTCTGTCTCTCACTGTTCAAATAAACCTACCATTAAAATTATAGACTGATCATTTCTTTGTCAGTGGGCAAACGTACAAAATCAGCAGGGGATCAAATACTTTCTTCCCTCACTGTAAACTACATAAGCAGTCGCTTAGGTCCTACGGCCACTAGGGGGCCCACAACCATTTTTTAAAAATATACACAACCAGTCAAAATGTTTGACACACCTACTCATTCAAGGGTTTTTCTTTATTTTTACTATTTTCTACATTGTAGAATAATAGTGAAGACATCAAAACTATGAAATAACACATATGGAATCATGTAGTAACCAAAAAAGTGTAAACAAATTCTTCAAATAGCCACACTTTGCCTTGATGACAACTTTGCACGCTCTTGGCATTCTCTCAAACAGCTTCATGAGGAATGCTTTTCCAATAGTCTTGAATGAGTTCCCACATATGCTTAGCACTTGTTGGCTGCTTTTCCTTCACTTTGCCTGTCTGACTCATCCCAAACCATCTCAATTGGGTTGAGGTCGGGGGATTGTGGAGGCCAAGTCATCTGATGCAGCACTCAATCACTCTCCTTCTTGGTAAAATAGCCCTTACACAGCCTGGAGGTGCGTTGGGTCATTGTCCTGTTGAAAAACAAATGATAGTCCCACTAAGCCCAAACCAGTGTGTCGCTGCAGAATGCTGTGGTAGCCATGCTGGTTAAGTGTGCCTTGAATTCTAAATAAATCACTGACAGTGTCACCAGCAAAGCACCATCACACCTCCTCCTCCATGCTTCACGGTGGGGACCACACATGTGGAGGTCATCTGTTCACCTACTCTGCGTCTCACAAAGACACGGCATTTGGAACTAAAAATCTCAAATTTGGACTGATTTCCACTGGTCTAATGTCGATTGCTCGTGTTTCTTGGACCAAGCAAGTTTCTTCTTCTTATTGGTGTCCTTTAGTAGTGGTTTCTTTGCAGCAATTCGACCATGAAGGCCTGATTCACGCAGTCTCCTCTGAAGAGTTGATGTTAAGATGTATCTGTTACTTGAACTCTGTGAAGCATTTATTTGGGCTGCAATCTGAGGTGCAGTTAACACTAATGAATGTATCAAGTAACTCTTGGTCTTCCTTTCCTGTGGCGGTCTTCATGAGAGCCAGTTTCATCATAGCACTTGAAGAAACGTTCAAAGTTCTTGATATTTTCCGGATTGACTGACCTTCATGTGTTAAAGTAATGATGGACTGTCGTTTCTCTTTGCTTGTTTGAGCTGTTCTTGCCATAATATGGACTTGGTATTTTACCAAATAGGGCTATCACTCCTACCTTGTCACAACACAACTGATTGGCTCAAATGCATTAAGAAGGAAAGGAATTCCACAAATTAACTTTTAACAAGGTACACCTGTTAATTGAAATGCATTCCAGGTGACTACGTCATGAAGCTGGTTGAGAGAATGCCAAGAGTATGCAAAGCTGTCATCAAGGCAAAGGGTGGCTACTTTGAAGAATCTCAAATATATAATATATTTTGATTTGTTTAACACTTTACAGTAACAATAGTAGAATACACCAGGTACAATTTCAAAATGTGATTGTGCATCAGCAGTTTTCTCATATGTCAGTCACTGACAGTCACTCAATTAGCCATGTCAGCTAAGAATTTTTTGATTAGTAGTTAGTCTAGACAGTTATCTAAACTTGTAGTAATCATGGCCGACTACCGACCGGGCATGCAGGGCACGTGCCCAGGGGCCCTGACCTCCAGGGGACCCCCAATGATTTTGTTAGTCATTCTCACTCAGATATTATATTAACATGACATAAGTCATTACAAAATGTGTAGAATAGCATGATTTTGCTTTAAAACTGAATAAATGTTTTGAGCAAGGTGTGGGGCCCCCCACAACCAAATCTCGCTTAGGGCCCCCAAACGGCTAAAACCGGCCCTCCATTGTGAATGTTGAAACATTCCCCCTAAAGATAACAAACAGGGGAGTGTTCTTGTTATCAACAGATACCAGTGACTTCACTTCGATCTACTTCCGTCTATTCCTTCTAGAAGTTGTTTGGTAGTTAGTGCCAGGGCGGGATCTAGACAGACAGTGGTGAAGGTTACACCTTATGATGTAATCACACTGTTACCCGGGAAATAACAAGCATATTCTGCCAATCAACGGGTCAATTAATAACTTGACAACTCATTTCCTCAGCATTACTTCCGCAACTGTAGGCTACTGTTTGTAATTTATTATGTCATGTAAATAAACGAGTGACCAATGGTATTCTGCTAGATGTTTCCAATAGGCATGTCTATTGCAGTCGATCCTGCATGTCATATGAGGCGACAGTTCAACCAAAGATGGTTTAAATGACTGCATTTGAACCTGTCTGACAGGAAGAACGTTGAGAATTTAACCTGTAGGCTATTTCCTCAAAGGGAACTGAACGACCCAGCGAAGAAATTAAGAGGTTAACTTGAAAATATCTGGAATTATGTATGAACGTCAAGGATCTAACAACTGTTGACAATACTTTTTCACCCCCCATTCTTCAGACATGTATAACTTTTATTGGCAAATAGAAATGGGTCCAGCAACTGAATATCCCATGTAAAACTGTTATTAACTGTTATTATTAACTGTACCATAAACTCCACTTCATCGCAAATCAAGGTCTACAATGTGTATAGCCTGTTTACATATTTACATTAATAACACCCATATTAGGCCTACATAACCGCCAAATAACATAAACGAATGTAGGTCATGTCAGTATCCTGTTTTGACTCTCTTACCTGACTATGGAGACAGAAGTTTTCAACAATAGGCACATCAGTGGAAAAGCAGCAAGCCCAATCCTTTTGGAAGACTTTGTATTCTGACTCTAAATCGGAGAGTGAAGACTTTTAAACCCTGCTCAGTTCACCACGCAGTTCGCTGTCCCCTCCCTACATGACGTAAAGCCTACGGTTTCACATGTATTTTTCTATAACTCTGCGGCGTCAAAAATCATGCCACTCTATAGGCTATACCGCCCATCTATATCAACCCTGCCAAGTCAATGGCTAACACACACACACACACACACACACACACACAGCCACACGGTGCGCAGGCTCCAAAGTAGCATATCCCACTGTCTGTCTGTGTCAATCCATCCCTATGTTCATTGCTGCCATCTGCCGTGCTACAATGAACTAGAACAGAATGACATCCACACCCGGTAATCCAGACTAGCCTCGCAACATGGATTGAATCACATATATTAGAATAAAGTAAACTATCACTTGTAACAAGAGTAGTTCATTTATGACATATACTATACACATGAGATTAAAGATACTACTGATAGGATGTATATCCATAATGTCCCATAATGCACTACTAGGCCATATGAGGTAGGTGAAGTCACCAAAACCGTATCGGTATTAATTTTGGAGTAACGCGTAAAAGCACCACTATAAGAAACTGACACCATTGTGGTTCCTAGAGAACAAGGACCGAACATAATTCACGAACAGCTAGAGGGAGCCAACATGGCCGAATGAGGGGCTGGTTTCGCGGAGCCTCCTCTAGGCCAGCAGAGGATCCGCCCACCCATGAGTCAGAGGATTTTGTGAGGTCTACTAGAATGACAGCTCAAACCTGTCCACGTCAACACCAGAGAACCACTATGGAAATCTCGTCTCTGGTAAGCAATCCGTAGGGATATGGCGATTTATACATATTTCTAAACGAGGATTACCTTGCAAATGCATGATTAGGCCTCGTCGGCCATTGCTTGAATAGCATTCATTATAGCCCTTTGCTGCGTAAAATGTTGTATTCAGTATTTTGCGTAATGGCCAGCCTAAGAAGTGATTTTTTTTAGGTCTGACTGGCTGGATCTAACATTTTCAGGTACGATAGGAGACATTAGGAGGTACTGTATTCTGCACGACTATCGTTGTAATCTGAATGTAGTCTATGCGCTATTTGAGTGTAGTGTACTGTAATTCCACAACCAGCAGCAACATGTGTTGCACTTTTTCCTTGTCAAGGGGCAATTGCTGTTATACAAACTCGGAACAGTTGCCAAATTCTCCAAGAGAGTGGGGCATACTGTCTGAAAAGCTACCCCCCATGTCACATATCTGAGATTATAACCTAATTTCTTATGATTTACACTTAAATGATTGGCATGAGTTGTCGTCTATCCGTTATACTTTTATTATAACTGTGACATCAGCCTGCCCAAGCACTGAAGGGTGAACACTGAACATATTGTGTGCCACGTCTACGATATTTGGTTTCAACCGGAGGAGGTGCGTTGCGCAGCATTTTACGCTTACCAAAAACTTGATTCCACAGGTGGGTTTTTCAACAAAATATGCATAGAATAATTTTACACTTTTGAACTAAACTCTAGACAGTTGATCATTGCACTAAGATAAATTAAGGTTTACGTTTCGACTTTACAAGTATTCTTTTTTTTTTACTGTAATTTAAACTTGGAATAAAACAAGAAGCGCTGGACAAGGCCGCAATTACTTTTCGTTGATTAACCAACCTGCTGTACTTGACCCTCAGCCTCAAAATATCTATATAAACCTTTTTTTTTAACACTGATATCATTTTAACTGATGTATTGCACTATTTAAATTGGTAGTGTTTTCTGTTAGTAGGCGGAGTCATTATAGCTGCACAGTATAATGTCTGGATGTGGACTTCATAAGTTATGCACTCTTGATATTGACATTCAGTGTGCTTAATGCATAAAATAATGTTGCACAAAGGATCATAGGACTGGTTACTTGACACCTGCACCTCTTTGAACTGTTAAAGGAATTAGTTTCACTATTGACTGTTAATAATAGGCACAGACATCTGGATGACTGGTTTGGACTTTCCTCCAGTTCATCTCAATTCAGGGTCTAAAGTCCTGAATTTGATGTTCCTGGCCCAAGTTCTGTGATACACTTAGGCTCTGAGTCTGTGGTAGTCAGTGCATAACAGAACTTTGGCCCGGTTCAACCAAGCCACCGTGGGATGGAAAGAACTCAAGGACCTGGGACCATCGACATCTACACTCACATGTCAGAGGAAGGCCATAAAAATGGTCAAAGACTCCAGCCACCCTAGTCATAGACTGTTCTCTCTGCTACCGCACGGCAAGCGGTACCTGAGCGCCAAGTCTAGGTCCAAAAGGCTTCTTAACAGCTTCTACCCCCAAGCCATAAGACTCCTGAACAGCTAATCATGTCTACCCGGGACTATTTGCATTGCCCCCCCACCCCAACCCCCTCTTTTACGCTGCTGCTACTCTGTTTATTATTTATGCATAGTCACTTTAACTCTACCCACATGTACATATTAACTCAATTACCTCGACTAACCGATGCCCCCGCACATTGACTCTGTACCGGTACCCCCTGTATATAGCCTCCCTACTGTTATTTTATTTTACTGCTGCTCTTTAATTATGTTTTATGTTTTATTTATCTATTTTTTACTTAACACTTTTTTTTCTTCTTTTCTTATAAACTGCATTGTTGGTTAAGGGCTTGTAAGTAAGCATTTCACTGTAAGGTCTACACCTGTTGTATTTGGTGCATGTGGCAAATACAATTTGATTTGATTAGATCTCTTCCTGATATTGTCATATTCCTCATGTTTTTGAATAACTTGACTAGATTTATTATCATCACCAATATCATCGTCATCACCATCATCAATGTTCTATTAATAACTGTTAGGGATGTGTTCAGTATGCCTAGGTCCTATGGAAATGAAAATGGTCCTTTATTCTGGTCAACATGTGGTCATACTGTCTTTCAGCAACCCTCACTGTACACAGTGAAAGCTGTCTTCATTTTGGACAACGATGGCAATAGACTTCTATCAAAGGTAGGCTAATAACCGTTGTCCAATAGCGACTCACATTGGTTATTGTTGTGGAGTCAAGACATTGTGAGAACTGCCCCAAATAACTGCCTCAAATGGGCACTGTTGTAGATGGTGTATTAATCATAACTAATGCATCTAATATCTGTCTTTGTTGTGTTTTAGTACTACGACACAGAGCTCTACCCCTCCATGAAGGAGCAGCAGAACTTTGAAAAGAACGTTTTTAACAAGACACACAAAGCTGACAGTAAGTTTTGCCCCATAAAAATGTCCCAGGAGACTATTGGAGTGGATGGTGAGCTTGACGCCTGATATTATATTCCATATCATAGTTTTAATGAACCACTAAGATAACAAAAAAAAGCTTCTAACAGAGCTTCTAACAATGTGATGAGAGAGTTGAGAAGATGTGCACCATCAGGGAAATCCGTATCAAGAGTATCAGAATGTAAATCAATGCAAATGTGTACCAGTCTTCTTTGGCTTCACGTTAATAGGAAACTGTGTAAAGCATTATTTGGTCAGGACCCGTTGTTCACACACCTTTTGTGTATCCTCCACCATAGAAAACCAAGAGACAGTGTTAGCTGTATAGCATTAGCCTGCGGCTCAACCCTCATTGGTTAGTTTGTCTAAAACATGAGAAACAGTATTGGTTCCTCTGGGTTCTTCTGTCCTCCAAGATCACGTTACAGTGAACAAAAGGGGAGGGAACCAGTTCAGCGACAGACCGCTCTCACGCTCTTTTGTTCCAATGAAATTCACAGCAGTCATCCGACACCCCGGGTCCACCTGCCCCTAAGGAGGATGCCCACTCTCTATCTCTGTATCCCTTCGTCCTCTCCATCCCTTCTTCCCCACACACATAGGAGTTTAGCATTTTATATGACAACACTCACATTTAAATTGGAAGCCTCCATTATTGGAGACACCCAAGTGAGAGGTTTTATGGATATGTCCGTATATGTGAATAAGGAGTGAATGTGCTTTAATGTTGCAATAAAGATCACTTGGTGGCTTGAAATCTCAGCGTCTTTCTCTCTCTCTCTCTCTCTCTCTCTCTCTCTCTCTCATTCTCTCTCTAAGCAGATGAGATTGCCTTCGTGGAGGGGATGACGATCGTGTATAAGTGCAGCATTGACCTGTTCTTCTACGTGGCGGGCAGTGCACAGGAGAATGAGGTAGTTAATGTGCTTCAGATGCAGAAGGAGTACAAGGCTAGACTGGTGCTTCAAAGACTATACATTATGGCCCGAATCCTGACTTGAGATCCGCAGTCTGCATGCAACTCAAGTTTTTGCACAAGTCTTCCATTGACATCAACGCATAATTCACACAAGTCTGAGTTAAGCCCTCACATATCAATTTAGGATTCAGATCTCAGAAAGCAACATGTAATTTGCAGTAGCGGTGCATGGGTAAAATCACTGGGGAAACCAAGCCCCTCCCCCTCCTATTACAACCTATGTGTTATGATAATTGTGTTGTTTGCTCTGTAACCTGTTAATTCATATGCCTTGCGACCGTGATATATAGGCCTAAAGGCAGAGACAATTCAACCACACCTTTGTTTTATCACACAACCGGAGAGCAACCTCTGTCCGGTGAAGTCCACAAAGTGCTCCCTCCACTATTCCAGCACCATTTCAACTTCAACAATTCAACCTCATCAAATTACATTTGAGTCATTTAGCAGACGCTCTTATCCAGAGCGACTTACAATTAGTGAGTGCATAAATTTTTCATACTGGCCCCTCGTGGGAATCGAACCCACAACCCTTGTGTTGCAAGCGCCATGGTCTACAAACTGAGCTACAGGAGGGCCAATATCCTCTGCTTAGTCTAATACAGTGACAACTAAAAGATACCAAAAACAATTTAGTCCAATCAACATAAGCTAAATATTATGTGGCTGTCCATGGTTCTGATTTCTTTGTGTGCGTGCGTGTTCGTGCAAGTAGAAAAACATGTTGACTACTTGTAGAGAAACGTCAATGCCATCCTCCTCTCTTTCATGTTGACAAAACGGTCTATCACTCTATAATACAGTACACGCTTTTATTTTTTGTTGTCCTAGGCTATCTGGCTAAAATGCTTGCTCGCTAGCCTAACTGCCATTCATGGGCAACGTTAGCTAGTTAACATTAGCCTTCTACATCTAGCTACATATTGAACTTCCATCCTCTCAGGCCAGGGGCACAACAATGTATGAATTAATGGTTGGATCAGAATCGCCGTTATAATCATTGGCCTGTACGGAGAATTAAGTACAACCACAAGTCCAAATCCCTATTTCCATCCATGGCTAATTTAGGAAAGGACCAGTTTTAGCTAGTTGGCTAAATTCAAGTTGTTTCTGTCAATGACGTATGCGCTCGATATGATTTGATAGGAGTGACGCCAAATTCCAAGTTGGCTTCCTTTGACACTTTTTTTGTTGCGCCAGGACCATTCACAGTTGAGCTCGCTCAGTTTATCTCAACGCTGATTGGCTAATTTGTTATACTTTTTTTATCAAGGGAGGCCAAATGCTGGCTGGCTTCCTTTGCATTCAATGCTACGTGCGGCAACAATTTCATACTCGTTTGGACCAGACAGCATCAGATGGATGGCCTACACGTAGAGGGACAGAGGGGCACTGTTTTGCTCGCTCGGATGCTTTCTTCTGTGAGATACATTCAGCCTCTTGCGAATTGAAGGAAAATTATAAAACACAGCGAGACAAAAGCTAAATTATTGTATGTTGAAAAAAATAATATATATTGGTTCATTTTTTGGGGAAGCCTGGCTTCCCTTGGCAGCCATGAATACACGCCACATTTGTTGGGATGACGTCATCATTGGAGACTCTATATATAGCAAATGCCCATGAGAATAAATGGTTGATAATTTGCTTATCTTCAGCGCTTCTTGTTGCTGTGTACGTTGCAAGTGAAAGACAAGTCCCTTTATGGCATATTGGCATTCATAAACAACCAGCAGAGTGATTCAACCACACCTGACTTTTCGCTCTCTCTCTCTCTTTGTCCCTTTCTCTTTCTCTGTTTACTTCTCTTGGCTTCCATCTATACCCCTCAATTCTCTTATTTTCCTTTCATCCTCCCCTCCTCCACTGCCCTGCTCTCTCTTCCTATAGCTTATGCTCATGGCTGTACTGAACTGTCTGTTTGAGTCCCTCAGTCAAATCCTAAGGTAAGTGTACAAGTGTTGTCTATGTTGAAGTAACCTCACTTTTAAAATGGTCGGTCAACCTTTAGGGGCTAACAATTGTAGAAACATCGAGGAGAAAAACATAACAATGTCAACATCAATGCAAGAAACGATTATTTGAAAAAGTATTGTAAATAATTAGTGAAAATATCACTCTAGTAAATATGGAGAAAATTAGACATAAGTTAATTTCAGATTTGAGTAGCTCTGGTGTTTCCTTCATGCATTCAAGACATGGTGAACAGTATCAGTTGAAACCAGCAGTAAGTTAGTGATTCGTTTATTTTGGGTTATATTATGATGGGATGACAGTGACACACCCGTAGCCCTCTCAGTGAAGTGGAACAGCTTGACAGGGGCTGGTGCCGTTACCATAGAAACCAATGCAGCAGCAATGCAGGGAGGGAGAGAGAGTGAATGGATCTATTTGCTCCCTCTCTGCCCTCCTTTAATGCAGTTTTCTATTTTTTAAATGCCAACTGTTCTGTATCATTTCAAACCTTGACAACTGGTACTACAGGAAGTTTATTTAAGTCAGTGTTTGAAATGTACAGAATAGCCTAAGGTGATATGAGCAGGAGTGCACCATACATTTCTGATCACAAGGCAACAATATGAGACCCAATCACAGATTTCATCCCTGTTGGCTCAACATACTGAATACAATTCAAGTCAGTCAATCAAGTTTTCTTACTTACAGGAAAAATGTGGAGAGAAGGTGTCTACTGGACAACATGGACGGAGTCTTCTTAGTAGTGGACGAAATTATCGACGGGGGGTAACGTATAGACTGCATTTGGATTACTGTTACAGTGCTATTTGGGTTGATAATTGGATTCGTACTGACATTTCTGGATTTGAAACATTTGTGGATTATTTGTGTCCTTGTTTGACACTGCATTGTTAGGAACTAGGAACATAAGAATGTCACTGCACAGTGAACAGCTACCTCCTCTGTAGCTCAGCTGGTAGAGCACGGCGCTTGTAACGCCATGGTAGTGGGTTCGATCCCCGGGACCACCCATACTTAAAAATGTATGCACACATGACTGTAAATCGCTTTGGATAAAAGCGTCTGCTAAATGGCATATTATTTATTATTTACTGCACCTGCTATAGCATCTGCTAAACTGTGTGCGTGACTAATAAACTTTTATTTGAGGTATCATTCAGGGGATGGTGGGAGTTACTGGTACAATATCTTGTTGCGTTCTCTGAGTGACTGACCCTACCGTTGTGTTACCAGGGTGATCTTGGAGAGTGACCCCCAACAGGTCATCCAGAAGGTCAATTACAGGGTAAGACAGCTACAGTCACTGACTGTGTCTACTGTATGGATTAATACATGGATTCTGATATGGGTACAATACTTGAAGATACAGATGACTAAAGGAAATTGTGTAGGGATTGTGTTTAGTGGATTGTTGTGGACTCTGATAACCTGTATGAACCCATTTTATGTCACGTTGAACAACCCCCCCCCCCCCCAACATTCCCTCAACACCCATGTCCATCTTCCTCTTACATGTGTCCTCTCTCTCCCCACCCCCACCCATCTACTCACACTGTCAGCTGGGTGGTTCAGAGCAAGCCTACAGCTTCGACCTCTTTGATTACATCGTTGGTAACATTGATGGACAGACGGACAGAAGCCAGTGTGCATAGCAACAGACTGCCCCTACAACCAGAGAGGGAGAGGGAGGGATAGAGGGTGAGGAAGGGAGTGTGAGAGAGAGAGAGGGAGGGAGGGGGAGATCCAGTGCAGGTAACTGCATGGTGAGAGAGCATGCCGCATTAGGTTCTGATATCCTCCAGGAAACCACCTCACAACGTTGGAACAACCGTCCACTAAGTCTGTGTCCTGCTGTGATTTGTCAGTGGTTAGCCTGAGGTTGCCAAGAGTGTTTCAATTAGTCCATATGGGGTTCCAGGAAATACCATGGGTGTTGGTACACCTTAAGAGCAGCAGGGCCCTTTGTAGTACTCCCTTGCACAATGCATACCATGTGTGAGGCAGCCATATTAATTGGATTGCGGTGGTCACTGACACATTCACCAGTGTCAGAGTGCATTTACATTAGCAATGCAAGGCATCAAATGACTGTTTTTAGGGCATTATGTTATCGTACAGTTGTTGCTTGCTTTATGTGTTTGACTCTTTACACACATATAGCCCCTAATGGTGTTTGTGTTGTGTGTGTGTGTGTGTGTGTGTGTGTGTGTGTGTGTTTGACTGCTATGACGTCATGTCCCTTCTTTCTTTTACTGTTTCTATTCCAGGCGGATGAGAACCCACTGTCAGAGCAGAGCGTGGCACAGGTGAGGTCACACACACGCACACACACGCGCACACACACACACAAAGCAGTGTCACCCTGCATGCATAGCGTGATAATATTTTCTATTTATAGAGCTTTAGCCATTAATTTCAGTTTATACCTGATGACATAACCTTCTATTGTACTGTCATATACGTTCATTGCATATAAACTATAACATGATTCTTATCAGGGTTGGGGTCAGCGCCATTTTAATTCTAGTCAATTCAGGAAGTACACCGAAATTCCAATTATCTTCAATGCTTTGGAATTGGAATTTGGTTTACTTTCTGAATTGACTGGAATTTAAATAGAATTGACCCAAACACTGATTCTTATCTTTCCAGTTACCCTTTTTCATAATTTCTATACTAAATGTACTGTAGAATAAAGCCACAGTACACAATACATTAATAATTGTCTCCCAGTATTGTTCAATTCGAAATTGATCAAATATTACTACTCATAATACCTGATTGTTTGAAGGTTGATCTAAATGATATGGTCCAGTTATATGACATGTTATCAATACTACAATAGGATTTCCATTTGACTAAAGTCACTGCATTCATACATAGATTCATCCGTTTGAATAATGTATTCTTTATGAGTGCCAAACACACTGCATTCATACAGAATGCTTTCAATATAATTTAGGAGATTTGCCAGCTTTGCCAGCATGTACTAACCTGCATCTGGATTTGATGACCTGCATAGTAAATGATGGAATGGCTCACATTGCATGATCAACATCGCTGCTGAATTGCTCTTTCCTTCATGCAATGTTCTGCCTGTTACTTCCTCTTTCCTTCTTCTCCTAACCCTCTGCTCTAACCCTCACAGCACATTACGGACAAATTGGCTATGACCTCCAATGTAAGTCCTCTCGCTCCTCACCCTCCAACATGGGACATTTTGAGTATCCTGGGGCTTGTTCAGAAGACCAGAATGTTGCAGATAGTTATGAAGTGTATAGAATGGACACATCATGACTGTTCTATACTGGTCATCTCTATGTGTGACTTTCAGACTGCCCTGTACTCCTGATTCAGACCCTGCTTTCAGGGAAGGGTTCATATCCAAAGCTATTCATTAACCATTTGCCTTGTGGTAGTTTCTCTCCCATGTTGGAACCAAACGTTCAATGACAATAACTTTCTATCCTCTAATAGACATGGAATTGTCATGGTGCCTATATATAAACACTAGACCTAGACAATAAACCTAAAACACTAAACGCTAACACTAAACTAAACAGTAAACTACTAGACGTAGACACTAAACACTAGACACAAGTTCATAATCTTAGCTGGGTTCCTTGCGCCCCCTGGTGCATAGTTTTATGCTATGCATCTCTGTTTCCCACGGGGGACCAGTATGAAAAATGTATGCACTCACTAATTGTAAGTCGCTCTGGATAAGAGCGTATGCTAAAAGACTAAAATGTAAAAAATTGTTTCAACAGCCCAAAAAATGCAGTTGTTTCTCTTGTGGAATGTCATTTTAGCAGGAAGAGTGACATTTATAAATCACTGAGGCACACAGGTCAATACTGATGTTGAATATAATTAAAGTGTGTTTCTAAGCAAGATGAAAATGCATTTAAGCCTGCTCAGAGAAGCTGACTGTGACTTTTTTTGTGTCTACTACACAAAATACACTTACACATTTTAAGGAGCTCATATTTCATGTAAAATATGAACGTGTGAGGAGTTCCATTCAAATTCACATGAATACAATAGTGACACCTACTGGTTGAAGTGTGTCACAATTAACTATAAATATAACATACTACTACAGTATACTATAATCGGCTACTATTAATGATCTGTGATAATGTTGTTTCCCACACTCAATCTGAAAAGGTGTTCTTTCTGTTGTTTTTGTTTTTTCAGATAATGCAGTCTGCCAAGGAACAAATAAAGTGGTCGATACTCAAATGATCCACACCTGCCTGTTCAAAGGTCAAATGTCTTACAGTAGAATGGACAGTACGAATTAATGTGTACATATTAAGTGGTGTATTTAGCGTTTTATGCTTAAATAGGCTATATTTATGGTAATTAGTGGCAAATACGGGCGTTTTTCCTACGAAGGCAAACTGACATTTGTATGTATTATAATGGAAATAATCTGTTTAATTTATTTGATTTGCAATAAAAATCGGAAGATATTATGCTAGATTATAGCATATGATTTTGTTAATTTCCCTTAACCCACAAAAGTACTCTGTAAAGAAATGTTTGAACCAAACCAAAAAAACTGAATTTTGTTGTAATGTGTGCAGTCCTACACAACTATGGAAACACTGTTGCTTAGGCTTCAAAGAGGGAAATTAATGCCATTAATTATGAAGTTATGTTACAGTGAACTTTAAATATGAAGATTTCTTAGTTTAACAGAAAAAGGCAATAGCCTGTGTAGTGTTACAGTAGTCCTGTTTGTAGTTGAAAGTCAGGTTACCCCATGTTAATTTATATTTTAGAATTATATAATGTGTGTTCATAATAAAACGAAGTTGGCATAGGTAGGTAGACCTGTGTTTTTTCTAAAGCACTGAGAACACCATTAGGACCATAAGAATAAAATATATTTTGTTACTTGCCTATGATGGACAAATAAACTATTTGAATATTTCCTAATTTAAACGCCAAAGACTGAGATTAATAATATTTGACGATAGATAATATTTTGTTTATATATTATCAAGTAGGCTAATCATTGTTCGTTTTATTGATTTCTATTGGCAGATTTTTTTCTAATTTTAGTCTGCCTGTTGTCAAGCTAATTAAAATATATATTTTTGTATTTTGTGTTGTCAAATGGCTGTTGTTCCATATTTATCATATCTAATTTTACACAGTATGTTTTTCTTGTTTCTTCGAAAAGGGTTCCTGTGAGCAGTGATGGCTGTAGCCCACAGTGTCTTTTGAAATGAGTATTTTGAATGGGAATCTAAGTAGTTAATATTCATGAGACATGGGGTGTGGTATCTGTTTTGATTGGACGTCAGGGTCTTACGTCAACATCCCCCGCCTTCATATCAAGAGCCAATGAAGCGTTTCAGATGTTAAGTCTCAATATGTGATTGGACGTGTCTGGTGCAGGGTGGAGCTTTCTGTATTCCAGATCACTCTGTGGTCAATATCGTTTTAATTGTTCAATATAGGCCGTAATTAGGGAAATTAACCATAGACAAAGAAGATGTGTCTGTGGTGAATGGTATAGTCTATGTAAAGAAATTGAATAGCATACAAAAGTTGCTTGTAGGCCTATTTAGATTAAATTGCGATGCTTTAGATTTCGGAATTGGTAGAACAGGTACGCTATTATATAATTGGAAAACATTATTATAGGTTTAATAATTATTTCGATTTTGAAATTATAATGTTGAACGAATTTGATGGCAAGAGGGCATATAGGTCTCTTAAAATGAACACTTTATCCAAATGTACAAGGAGCACCTGCTACTTTCATAGACGGATTGGAAGAAACGGAAACAATTGAAATTATCTTTATTTAGCCTACACATCTAAAAAACCGAGTTAACTCTAAATCTTTAGTTTACGATGTTATATGCAATTTTACTGCCATTCGTGTTTAGCCTATTTTCGTTGGCATTATAAATTCAAAATTGTATTATAGGCTACACATGCTTCAAAACGCTTGTCAATCTGGTGTTTTAAAATGTACCTATATGAATATAAATGTGTAATAGGGAAGACAAACGGAACATGTTCACTACAAAGGGCCTGTAAACTGTACATTTTGTTAGGCTACAGTGGTCCATTCATTAGTTTTAACGACAACAAAAACGAATTAATCTTTATCGAACGCTTGAAATTGCCTATTCATAATTATAATCGGCTGGATGATAAAACCTGTCTGCATACACCGTGCCACAAAGACTTGATTTCCCCAACCATGGCATTGCTGCCATCTAGTGGCCTATCACCGCCTTGCACCATCTCATTTGGAGTGATTTCCTCTCTCCCCACTGAAAAGTCACTGAAATGGATATCATCGACATAATATTGGAATTGATAAACTACCATGACATTCAATCTCATAACCAAGCCCAATCAAATAGTTGGGTATATTACCAGAATATGTCCATCTCATCATGGATAGCCTAGTACTAGTGCCTTGTAGTAAGGGAGGCCTATGCTGATAGCCTGTCATGTTTTTTCATTACCATTAGGCCTATTGCAATTTACAGAAACATAGGCTAATAATACTTGAAAAAGCATATAGTTCTAGGTTATTTCATAACCTTTTATAATCCAATAATAAGCCTATTGTAGTCTGTATTGATCTATGAAGATTGAAACATCATTTTTCTATCATTGTTCACATTTCCTCTGTACCCTAGCCAAAGCTTTTATTTCAAATCAAATGTTATTTGTCACATGCTTCGTAAACAACAGGTGTAGACTAACAGGGAAATGCTTACCTACATGTCCTTTTCCAAAAATGTTAAAGATAAAAAATACAAAATCAAATAGAAATAGTGACACGGGATAAATACACAGTGAATAACAAATAACAATAAAGAGTAAAAATAACATGGCTATATATATATATATTTATATATATATATATATATATATATATATATATATATATATATATACAGTGGGGAAAAAAAGTATTTAGTCAGCCACCAATTGTGCAAGTTCTCCCACTTAAAAAGATGAGAGAGGCCTGTAATTTTCATCATATGTACACGTCAACTATGACAGACAAATTGAGAAGAAAAAAATCCAGAAAATCACATTGTAGGATTTTTTATGAATTTATTTGCAAATTATGGTGGAAAATAAGTATTTGGTCACCTACAAACAAGCAAGATTTCTGGCTCTCACAGACCTGTAACTTCTTCTTTAAGAGGCTCCTCTGTCCTCCACTCGTTACCTGTATTAATGGCACCTGTTTGAACTTGTTATCAGTATAAAAGACACCTGTCCACAACCTCAAACAGTCACACTCCAAACTCCACTATGGCCAAGACCAAAGAGCTGTCAAAGGACACCAGAAACAAAATTGTAGACCTGCACCAGGCTGGGAAGACTGAATCTGCAATAGGTAAGCAGCTTGGTTTGAATAAATCAACTGTGGGAGCAATTATTAGCAAATGGAAGACATACAAGACCACTGATAATCTCCCTCGATCTGGTGCTCCACGCAAGATCTCACCCCGTGGGGTCAAAATGATCACAAGAACGGTGAGCAAAAATCCCAGAACCACACGGGGGGACCTAGTGAATGACCTGCAGAGAGCTGGGACGAAAGTAACAAAGCCTACCATCAGTAACACACTACGCCGCCAGGGGCTCAAATCCTGCAGTTCCAGACGTGTCCCCCTGCTTAAGCCAGTACATGTCCAGGCCCGTCTGAAGTTTGCTAGAGTGCATTTGGATGATCCAGAAGAGGATTGGGAGAATGTCATATGGTCAGATGAAACCAAAATATAACTTTTTGGTAAAAACTCAACTCGTCGTGTTTGGAGGACAAATAATGCTGAGTTGCATCCAAAGAACACCATACCTACTGTGAAGCATGGGGGTGGAAACATCATGCTTTGGGGCTGTTTTTCTGCAAAGGGACCAGGACGACTGATCCGTGTAAAGGAAAGAATGAATGGGGCCATGTATCGTGAGATTTTGAGTGAAAACCTCCTTCCATCAGCAAGGGCATTGAATATGAAATGTGGCTGGGTCTTTCAGCATGACAATGATCCCAAACACACTGCCCGGGCAACGAAGGAGTGGCTTCGTAAGAAGCATTTCAAGGTCCTGGAGTGGCCTAGCCAGTCTCCAGATCTCAACCCCATAGAAAATCTTTGGAGGGAGTTGAAAGTCTGTGTTGCCCAGCGACAGCCCCAAAACATCACTGCTCTAGAGGAGATCTGCATGGAGGAATGGGCCAAAATACCAGCAACAGTGTGTGAAAACCTTGTGAAGACTTACAGAAAACATTTGACCTGTGTCATTGCCAACAAAGGGTATATAACAAAGTATTGAGAAACTTTTGTTATTGACCAAATACTTATTTTCCATCATAATTTGCAAATAAATTCATTAAAAATCCTACAATGTGATTTTCTGGATATTTTTTTCTCATTTTGTCTGTCATAGATGACGTGTACCTATGCTGAAAATGACAGGCCTCTCTCATCTTTTTAAGTGGGAGAACTTGCACAATTGGTGGCTGACTAAATACTTTTTTCCCCCACTGTATATATATATATGAGTAACAGTACCGAGTTGATGTGGAGGGGTACGAGGTAATTGAGGTACAGTTGAAGTCGGAAGTTTACATACACCTTAGCCAAATACATTTAAACTCAGTTTTTCACAATTCCTGACATTTAATCCTAGTAAAAATTCCCTGTCTTAGGTCAGTTAGGATCACCACTTTATTTTAAGAATGTGAAATGTCAGAATAATAGTAGAGAAGGATTTATTTCAGCTTTTATTTCTTTCATCACATTCCCAGTGGGTCAGAAGTTTACATACACTCAATAAGTATTTGGTAGCATTGCCTTTAAATTGTTTAACTTGGGTCAAAAGTTTCGGGTAGCCTTCCACAAGCTTCACACAATAATTTGGGTGAATTTTGGCCCATTCCTCCTGACAGAGCTGGTGTAACTGAGTCAGGTTTGTAGGCCTCCTTGCTCGCACATGCTTTTTCAGTTCTGCCCACACATTTTCAATAGGATTGAGGTCAGGGCTTTGTGATGGCCACTCCAATACATTTACTTTGTTGTCCTTAAGCCATTTTGCCACAACTTTGGAAGTATGCTTGGGGTCATTGTCCATTTGGAAGACCCATTTGCGACCAAGCTTTAACTTCCTGACTGATGTCTTGAGATGTTGCTTCAAAATATCCACATAATTTTCCTTCCTCATGATGCCATCTATTTATTGATTTGCACCAGTCCCTCCTGCAGCAAAGCACCCCCACAGCATTATGCTGCCACCCCTGTGCTTCACGGTTGTGATGGTGTTCTTCGGCTTGCAAGCGACCCCCTTTATCCTCCAAACATAACGATGGTCATTATGGCCAAACAGTTCTAATTTTGTTTCATCAGACCAGAGGACATTTCTCCAAAAAGTACGATCTTTGTCCCCATGTGCAGTTGCAAACCGTAGTCTGGCTTTTTTATGGCAGTTTTGGAGCAGTGGCTTCTTCCTTGCTGAGCGGCCTTTCAGGTTATGTCAGTTTAGGACTCGTTTTACTGTGGATATAGATATATTTTTGTACCTGTTTCCTCCAGCATCTTCACAAGGTCCTTTGCTGTTGTTCTGGGATTGATTTGCATTTTTCGCACCAAAGTACGTCCATCTCTAGGAGACAGAGCGCGTCTCCTTCCTGAGCGATATGACGGCTGCGTGGTCCCCTGGTGTTTATACTTGCGTACTATTGTTTGTAAAGATGAATGCGGTACCTTCAGGCGTTTGGAAATTGCGTGCAAGGATGAACTAGACTTGTGGAGGTCTACAATATGTTTTCTGAGGTCTTGGTTGATTTCTTTTGATTTTCCGATGATGTCAAGCAAAGAGGCACTGAGTTTGAAGGTAGGCCTTGAAATACATCCACAGGTACACCTCCAATTGACTCAAATTATGTCAATTAGCCTATCAGAAGCTTCTAAAGCCATTACATCATTTTCTGGAATTTTCCAAGCTGTTTAAAGGCACAGTCAGCTTAGTGTATGTAAATTTCTGACCGAATGGAATTGTGATACAGTGAATTATAAGTGAAATAATTTGTCTGTAAACAATTGTTGGAAAAATTACTTGTGTCATGCAC